GGCGTGTTGCTAACCAGAATGAAGCCTCTCCTAGGTATGAGCCTCGAGCTGGGTCAGGAGATGGCACCATGTTCCTAGCAAAGCGGGCGCCTTTGGTATGAATCACTTTTTGCTGGTTTGCAAATATGAAATGCGTGCATTAGGGTCACTTCGCTACCAGCAAAATGAATAGGCCTACTCCCTACCAACCTGGCTCTTTTCAACCAATGAGGAGGTTCTTCGGCTCAAGGCAGATAAAGTCAAGGAAAAATGAACAAAGAAATGTATTTTTCTCAAAGGGGTGGGCTGGGCAAACTACTCTTCCTTGAGTGTACAGTTTAAAGCCTTTTCAGGTGTAGTTGTGCTAACAATGAGCAAGGTTATCTTTTTTTTTTTTTACAAATCTACGGTTAAGAGTCTATTCTCTGACTTCAGTTATGTGTACATGTATTTGCCAAACAGCTGGTGATTATGTATTGTGACATTGGCCATGTTTGATGTGTGGACTTCATCAAGATACATAAAAATTAATGAAGTGTATTTATGCTGTTCCCGTTATCTTGTTGTTTATTTCTTGTATATATTTTTGATGATTTGTGTTAGTGTTCATTTTGACATATTTTAACAAACAACCTTTTAGATGGTGATTACCAAATCTTTTCACATTAGTGCTTTTCAATATGTTTTCCTTTGAATCCTATTTCAGCTGTACAGTAATTGTAGATTTAGAAAAAAAATCCTCACCAAATCCCTGGTATCTGTGGTCCATTAGAAATCTAGTTGGCTGTAGATTTGTAAAAATAATTTCTAAACAAGTGTTGCATCGTAGAAATGGTATAATAAACTCTAGCCTAGAAAGCAGGCATGAGTCAGTGCCCAGTCATTGATGCTTTACCGGGGGCTTCATACTCCCTGAAAGTTTCCACGTGTCATTGTTTTCCAGCAAGGTGGAGGATTTTAATAAGAAGATTTTCAGTCTTAATGCCCAAGGAGTTTGACAGTCCCCAACCAGACTACATGATAAATCCACTCACTGATAGATTGTTTTTTGTTGGTTGGAGCTCAGTAGTGGTATCCAATCATATGTCAGTTACTGCATTCAGAGGCCCACGTACATGTATGTCACTAGTTGAGGGTTGGCGATTTTGGACAGTGACCAAGGAGGCCCCGTCATGTCGTACCCAGTCAAGACATGTTTGTGTATGTGGACTTGACTACATGGGCAGAGGTCGGAATCCATGATGCCCCATCTTTTCATGTTGGCTGATCTACCGATACATCAGCTGCATGTTCAGAGTAAAGAGTATTTTAAAGAGGGACGATACATAGATGTACAGACTTTCCGAAGGCCTGTACTTTGCATTGTCTTTGGCTCTGGGTCCTGGATTGTAACAAGTCTGGGGCTTGTTGGCACAGAATTATGCCTCAGGGTCTTTGGTTTTGGGGTGTTTTTTTCCTGCGTTTGAACTTCGGTTTTTGGCCTTGATAATTGTTGGTCTTGGGTTTTGATTGTTATTTTTTTTGTCAAATTTGCTATCAGTTTCTAATCTTTCTGGTCTCTGGTCTTTTGTTGTTTTGAGTCCTTGGTTTTTGATCTTTATCTTTTTTAAAATTTTTATTTGGATGAAAAGATGAATAAAGTTTTATTACATTTTCAGGAAGCATTAAGTTGTACATTTTTAATGCTATGATAGGGTTTATAGTTGTGTTATTTCACTACCAACGATATGTGCATGTTGCTTACGTTGTAACAAACTCCTTTTGTCATTTTGTTGGAAATTGGTTATTCATACTGTAGGAACAAAACCTCAAACCAGAAATTAACAGAAATGTCCTTGGTGTGTTTTAAACAAGTAATGCTAACTTTTATATCACTGACACATTTTCACAAATGACACATTTTCAGACTTTAATTTGATACTTTCTACACGATTATTTTGTCATTTTCCTTAGATTATAATATGTAAATTCGTTGTGATGAAGTTTCCGTTCTTTAGTCCTGGTCATTTGACTGTGACGCTGTTAATCGTTATCAGGAATGACAGCGCCTATTGGCAGGATTCTCTCAATATTTAAATGATCCCTTGTCAATAAAACAGTCTCAGTACTGAATCTTGTGGTTGCATTTTATCTCACTGATATGTTGTTTGAAGAGAACTGTAATAAAGTTGGTTCTGATTCGACCATTTGAGCTTTTGTCTGTGTAAGTCATTCAGCCCCCATTGGTTAATAGTGTTTGAGCTGTGAATAAAGTCACACCACACAAGCATCAATGATGCCCTGCAGACAGTGTCTACAACTTATTGTTGGTCATGCAACTGGGCATGATATTCCTCTCTCATTGGTCGCATTAGGGCAGTCTGTTCTTGACACGGGTATCTTGTTCTCGCAAACGGCGGGAACACGACTCAAGAACACTGTTCTCAGAACAGGATCACACACCACCTCCTCGTCAGGGTTTTACAGGAACACACGGAAAAACTTGTGAGATTTTGATTTTTGAACAGCTGCAAAAAGTGGAGAGGTGGCTTCCAAAGCCATAGACCATGTAGACAATGGGAAGTTTTGCAACATTAACATTAATTATTTTCCCAAACACAGAAATGAATGTTCCTGTTTATGTGGAAAAGAATTCAACCCATCTAAACCTTAACTTTCGAATAACGTACATGGACGCCGCCATGTTGCATGTTGTTTGTTTCTTCCCGGCATTCGAGCGGCCAACCCACAAACAACAAATCGAACTGTTTGTGAGCATACGGGAACAAGCCGCCCGAACTCAGCTATTGCTCTTCGACAAGAACAGCCAACCCACAGAATCGTACCATTGAGGTGGCGCACTGATAGAAACCTATTAACACCGACTCTCTAATTACCTGAGGGTGGTTGGCACCGGCTTGAATCAGCTACACCAATCCATTCTAAATGCCGAACAGTGGAAACGAAGAATGAACACACTATGACATGTAGTCACTGAGCAATGCCTTTGCGCAGTTTATGCACAGACGCCACTGCATGAACGTCTGCTTTGAAGAGAAACCACGACGACGCCTGTCCAGCTTGCAGCAGCCTACTCAGGGGCATACTGCATGCAGGTACACACTCAATCCATCCCAGATACATGTAAATGCCAGGCCCAGACCCAACCCTAAAATGTAGGCCAGTCAATATGAAAAGGCAAACTAAATGAAACGTGTCCTCTTCAACAATTCATTTCAAGTATGAACGGGAGACCTTGAGTCACTTAGGGGCGCGGCAAATACACTCGTCCTTTTCATCAGTTCAGAGTAGGCGTGCATATAGTTCTGAGCGTACCCAATGCTGTTAAAAAAAGGGCTGTTATATTTGTATCTGCTGGCCCCAGCATCTCAATAGTCTCCCATTCCCCTCTTCCCCATTTCCATGCTTTTCGTGGAGAAATTTGTTCAAGATATGAACAAGGGAATCACTTTGTCTGGAGACTGATTTGACAGTGGAAGGTTAAAGGTCTAATCGTATCCGGCACGGGAGTAACAGGCTGGTGGGCTCATGCACGCAACTGACACGTGAAAATCATACGTGCCAACATACACTGGTTGCACGCTCATTGGCAAGCATGCATAAACCTGTACGCTCAACCTGTGAGTTCCCACCAAAGGCCCTTCATTCCATTCAAAAAACATGCCCTCCATTGTTTCCCACTTCGAGCAGATTGCTGTAAAATCCCAACCATGTGAGCTTTTTTTTTTCTCTAATCCTTGCTACACCTCTGTCTTTGGCTCCATCTTGAGGGTTAATGAAGTGTTGCTTGTTGAGAGGACTGTTGCTGAAGACTTGGTGATCATCAAATAAATGAATGTGTAATTAAAGATCAAACACTGTGCCTAACACAAATCCATGTTTTCAAAAGCTTTGATTTAAGCCATCAGTTAGGTGCATCATATGATAATGCACCCTGAAGAAACTGTCCTCCCCACTGTTGAGTCATATGAGCCCATTGTTTTCTGTCCATTATAAGGCCAAGAATAGAAGGCGAAGTGTTGCCCTAACATGAAACAATTCTGGAGGGTTGGTCATTTTCGGATTTGGCTTGGTGGGGGAGGGGGCTGTTGGTCAACTCAGCTCATTCTTCTAAAATGAAATCCATGAACGGCATATTTGCTGTTCAGTACTTCATTTAGAACAATAACCTCTTGTTTTCAATATAGCAATGTTTGTAAAATTGAACTACATGAATGAGGCAAAAAATTTTCTTGAAACTGGTTTAGTTGCTGAGAGTGTTTGGCAGGACCCTTGGAGCAGTAATTTTGAACAAAACAACCGTTACTACTACTGCTTTATACATCACAAACTGAGGACTTTGCCTTGTTACGTAATGAAGTACCTGCATCACAGGATATTCCATCCATGTTGACTATTTCCACTACAGATGCATGCAATTAAGCAGCATTACTCGTCATTGGGGTATTTAGTGAACTTCAAAGGAAATTGGGTTATTGCCGATGATTGAGTCATGAATGTGAAAAGTTTGAATGTGTTTGATTTTCTAGTCAACGTGTCCAATTTCTCCAAGCAAACAAAGGAACTTTGTGATTGTGGCATTTGGTTACTGCAGTGTGCACTCCAGCTGTACCATATAGATAATGATTGTACTTGGCAAGGACATCCCTTTGGTGGGAACTCACTTCATGCATGTAGAGGTTTATTTGTTGTCTTTGACTAAGTCCATGCTGAGTATATGCCAACCTTACAAACCTAGTGTGGACCCATGAACAAAAGAGGTCCTCATAATGCAGGTTGTGTGAACCTTGTGTGGACCAAGCCAGTCTCCTCAACGACATGAGAGGAAAAGAAATGCCCACACCAGCTGTGTAATGTAAATGTGGGCATCATGCATGTGATTAAACCAGGTTGGAAAATGTCCCACCAACTTGTCTTGTCTTTGCCAGCGCGTCAAACCAGACAGAATTGTTCAGGCATAAATTATCCTCCTCGCCCGACTCGTCCACATTTAAGGAAAAATCTCTCTGCTTTATTTTCAGATTCTCAGTCTGGTGTGTCATGTCTGTGTTTACTCCCTTCTGACCTTGGTATTGACTCTGTTTCAAGAGGACACGCTTGGTGGACGAGACGTAAGTACGCATTTGAAAAAACGACTTGCGCCAAGACAATCACCCTCACTGTCCTCAGTACTAATGGTCACCAATGACAGTGATAAACACAATGTATTATCTTTGACAACTTATTTAACCATTTCTTGCCGGAGGATGTGTTGACACAGTCCTGGCCATGGCTATACATTAAAAAGATATTCCCTGTTTGAAATTTGAAATTTGTGGCCAAATGTGATGCTGTTCATGAGGGCTTAAATGGACAATTACATATGCTAATTTTTAATCTTGCTGTTTTGTGTAATGCTTTCTTAAAAACAGTTTGAGTTAAATTTGTATCTCGGTATTTGTTCACCTTTTACCGAATTTGAAGATAAATGGTTTTATATGTACACACTCTTGCCGGCCCTGCTTTGAGGGAGTAATTTTTGTAAAAAAATATAGGACTGAGTTATTAGGACAGAGATGTATTCCCATAATAACTTTAGTTTACTTATGCTTGGAATATACTTATGCATGGAATTATCTTTGTTCGTGCGAGTGCGTGGTTTCGTTTTGTTTCCTTTTTTCAGTCTGGTGGGTGGGTCAGTCATTGGGTTCTTTTTTTGTCATTTCATTTCTTCCCATGCACAGGAATTGATACATCTTGCATGTCAGCTTCTTAAGCAACCTCAACTATGCATGGAGTTTTGGGATAGCGTAAGTTGACCTAAGTGTGGCAAGAATGTGCGAGGAAGCAATTAGTAAATCAAACCTGATAATCATGGCAGTCTCTGTTAGAAAGCTTATGTTACTGATGAGGCGGAAAAAGTTTTCAGATGTGGAACTCTCTCATGAAAACAGGTTTGCAACCAAGTCGTCACTCACCACTCATGAGTTATTCAGTCTCAAGTCAAATCAAAACCTCTCAAATGATGTGCAAGAAAGGCATCTCACTGTCGTCGGGACTTGAGACACGTTGTTATCAATTCACCCGTTACTCTTGAGTGAAGTATCCATGATTTTCAGCCATCAAGAATTTCTGTAATTCAACAATTTTTGGATCAAATATGATGATACAAATCAGAATCATCATATTTGATTGAAAGCTTAGGAGTCCTTGAAATGTAATTGTAAAGCCTGGTTGAACTTATTTTAACCATAGTTCATAGGCATGTGCACAGTGCATGAGAACGTACACCAGAGATGATTATAATAACAAAGCTTTCGAATTGAACATGTAAAGGATATACTCATAATGGACACGTTTATATGTATTCTAAATTAAAAAAAATTTTCACGGGACAAGTCACATGGGGGAGGGGTGTCGGATTATCACCCAGGCTGTGAGACTGTCCAAATGACCCTGGCATTTTGGGGTTTATATACGGTAAAAGATAGTTGGATTTCCTTAAGTGCCCCATGTCACATTGGGCCATTCAAGAATAAATTCTTGTCCCATTTTCTCAACTCCCTAACTTTTGTAGGATGTAGAGGGTGGCATATTCTCTCTCCTTCGGTCCTCCACTAACAGCTTCCCGCTGGACTTCAATCCGTTACTTCAACTCCTGACCCCACTGACAAGCGAGGGCAGCAGACAGGTAACGAGAAGAAACTCGGTATCATAGAAAAGATAGAATCATGGTTTTTGCGTTTTGTTGCTAGTCAGGGAGAGAGGGAATTGTGTGAGAGACTTTCTTTGGTTAAAACCAAAATAATTTTAAGCATCGCAATTGAGCAAACCCTCAGGATTTTGACTTGATTGGTATATTGCCATCCCATACTTCTGTGACATTCAGGGTTGTGCCAACCTGTGCACAAAGTACCTTCATTTCTTCACTGTGTGGATTTCTTATGTTCACATGTCCACACAAAGTCTAAAAAGCCTTTGAACACCCCCAAAAGGAACTTTTTTGTAACATACATTGTAATGTTTAAACATCAACACATCAAGTTGGTCTTAATGTTCTGAAACTCTGTGGTTGGCTGCTTGGGATCTGACAGCATATCCCAAGGGCTGTGCAGCATTTGCGCTAACGCTTATTGCCCAAACCAGGATTGAAGCCTAAACTTGGTATAAATATTTGGATCCCAAGCAAACTCAACATGTACGTTTTTGGCTGTTAAACCCAGCAGTCTAAGATTGTGGTCCAGACCAGCATTGTCAAGTCCTTCGAAAGACCGTGCAAGTCCATCACAAGTCCCCCGGTCTCAAGGCAAGTCTCAAGCCGGTCAAATGGACTGTGACAAAAGTGTGCCTTTGTCGTTGTTCACCTGGAAATTTGTTGACTGGACTTGTAAAGAGACTTGTTACTGGCTAGACTGTGAAACTAATCTAACCTTGACTTAACACTGCTTCTCATCATGCCCTAATCATGTTATTTTTTTACCCCTAGGTGTTTGCTTTCGTGGAACATCTCCCGTCCTTCACGGAGCCCTTGGACAATAACCGGTCAATGGACCTGCAGAGCACCAATCAGAAAGGAGTCTGGAAGTTGATGCAGGACAAGGTGGTCCTGCCAGCAGGTACAAAAGGAACCTAGACTTTCCACAGCATATCTCAAACTCCCTGAGCATTCTTTTGCTAGGAACCTTTCTGAAGCTGCCAAGATCAACCGCCTTGCAGGAATCAAAAGGGATATTATAATGAACTCCCATTAAGTCAAATCTCAGGGTAATAGTTTGAGAAATAAAGGTATCTGGATTTTGGGTGAGGCAACATTCCTTAATTTTCTCTCTGTTCAAGTAACACCTACATCTGCAGTGTTTCCACTGCAACTTGCTCCACTCTCATGGACTGTCCAAAGGGACGCATTTTTCTTGTTTTTATCCGTCTTGAGTAGAAGCACCCCCTCATTAGTTGAAAAGAGCCATATTGGTAGGGAGTGTTCATTTTGTTGCTAGTGATGTGACGGTAACGTGTGCATTTGACAGTCATTTGCAAACTAGTGAAGTGTAGTTCCAACCAAAGGAGCCTCTGTTGATTGGAAAATTGCCCCATCTCTTTGGTCCAGCTCAGGGTTCATTGATTCTGATGGTGTATTTTTCTAGTTGGAATTAAGATTTTATATCATTTTCTAAAAGTGCCTGCTGTCGTTAATACAACAATTAAGTCAAATTGTGTGTAGCAAATCTCTATACTTCATGCCATTTTGCACCTTAGCATGAGCAGAGGGATACAGTCCAGAATGCTTGGTTTTTATACCTTGCAAATTAACTTACAGTCAACTGTAAGTTACCAGTCAAACCATACCTAAATTAATGTGAGCATATTTTAATGTAGAGCTTTTGCCATCGTACCTCCCTCTTTTATTTCAATTCCTAATTCTTTCATTGTCTGAAGGTGATCATTGTCGAGCTTTTATCATGCCAGCTGGTTCACTGGGTGTCCAGTTTCAGAGGGGCAGGGGTGAGTATCGGTCAGAAAACAATTACCCTTTCCTCATGGAAATCTATGTAAAGTGAGTTTGTTCCCTCCAAGGAAAGTACGGATTTGCCATATTAACTTAGCTTTGGCTTAAAATAATGCACGTCTCTATGGGAACTGGCTGCAGCCACTACCATTGACTTGTGTATAATTTCAGACAGTTGTTAAGTAATTTTTGAACATGGTTGAACTCTCCAAATTTTGCAGGCATCAAAGTTGAGTTTACTCAAAGATTGTTTCTTGTGATTCAGACAAACTTCGAATCATGACTAGTTACTCTCACATGGCTGAGAACTTAATGCAGATCCCAGACTCAGATATGAAATAAGCATCTTGATGCATGTGCATCAGGACTTACTTGAAACTCAGCACTCAGTATTGATAGAAGTAACTCTTGAGCTAATAAATGTTGAACCAAGTGATTGAAGATTGACACTCACACTTCCATCAGTTGACTCAAACATGGACACAGACTTAAATCATGGGAATCAAGTCTCTGATTCAGACTTGAGCTCAGTTACTCAAAGCTGTTACCCATATCTTCTGGCTCATAGTTGAATCAAGTAACTCAAATGCATGCTACAGCAAAAGGACAGAAACCCATCATTGTCTCAAAGATTGTGCCATTTTGTGCACTTTTTGGAAGGATTTGGATATCCATCTTCATTAGTAGAGTGATATTATTTTGTGTTTCCTTGCATTCTGCAGCTTTTTTAATTCATCAGAGTTCTGAACCAGACAGCCTTCGTCAGCATTGTTTATCCCTCACAATTATGTTTGTTTCCCCCTGCATTCTGCAGTCGACCTGATCCGTTGGAATTTTGATTTCAGTGGCTGGCAGTTATTCCAATGTCTGATTGACTGGCTATTGGTCAGAATTAGACAGGGCAACATACCATCAGGTCAGTCCCTTCACTGCAGACAGCTCCAGGTTTCTCAAACTTTGAAGGGTCAATGCAAGTTTTTAAATCCCAGTACAACCCTTGAAAATGAACTAGACATTGTTCTTGTGCCTTTCTTTTTTAGTTTTCTGCCGATGAGTATTTCCATATTTGTGAGAAAAACTATGATGTCATCCTTGGAAGACACCCCCAAAAAGCTACTAGAAGCTTTGATATTGTGCTGGCATGAATTGCCTTTCCTCAGTGATTCATTGTTGTGCTTTGTGTATGGTAATAGAACTCTGTCTCAGAACTGTTTTCAATGAGCAAATTCTTGCTCCATAAATAAGTTAGAAAACCCTATAGACCAATCCGTTTAAACGCCGTCACTGCGGTGGCGCCGCTCTCACACGCACATTCTTCAGCTTGACGCGCGCGCGTACATTTGGTAAATCACGACACCCTATTGGTCAAAGAGGCATGTAACACGCGTGTACCCCATGTCCACGAGCGTTGTGCCACCACAGTAATGGCTTCTAATTCTGTTGGTCGAATTACACTATAGAACAAGCATCGCCTTCCTGATTGACATCACAGCAACAGTACCTTCAGTGTTGTGGCAAACGACGATTTGAAATCTTTGAAAACAAGTGCACTTTTCAATGCATCCTTCCCAAAAGGGATGCCAAATACATGGAGTTTCCAGAAAGTAGCACAAAACTTGTGTAAATGAAATTTATCGCTTGAACCTTTCAAGTTGTCACTTGTTGTGTGCGCTGTTCTTATTGGCAACTGTTGTGGAACTTCATGTGTGTAACCAATGATCACATGCTGGAGGGATGACCTCCCATGCAGCAGTTAACCATAGTATTGTTATACTCTGCACAGAAGGGAGAATATATGATGTGAAGAGGTAGGAACTTTTCCTCGGATAAAAGCTGCTTTCATTGTTTTTAACCTCACTCTCATGCTATCGAAAACTGAAAAACACAGAATAGAGTCTTGTAAGGATTGGAATTTCCTCGGTTTGGGGGGGTCAAAGTCCAAGCTGCATGCCAGTGTAACTGTGTTGCATTGGCCAGTTTGTGCTCCAGGGAAATTTGAAAATGAAGCGAATTTGATGTCACAGAGCATTTGCAGACAGGAAAGGGTTCAACGTTTGCAAAGTCATAGCATGAATCTTTGAACCTACATCTCATCGCTGCATTTGTGCCAAGTGGGAACCAGCCTTAAGGCAGTGTATTTGAGGTAGCAAGCGTTAATCATCGGGTGCTGGATGCATGGCTATTCTTCTCCAGTAAAATCACCGACTCCAGTACCCAATATCTCACTGTAATTTGTACCATTTCAAACGTCGGAAGATCTGTCAAAGCTCCCGATGAATTTTCTGTGAAACCTATTCCTCTTTTTCCTAGGTGTCCAAGTCAGCCAAGCTGAGGCCATCATTGACCTTGTGACCCACACTCTGGATGCTGATTGGTCGCTGTTCCCTGAGCTTCAGCTAATCACAGACTACCTCTATCAATTGATATCAAGGTAAACCATGAGTAGATATTTACGGTGTTATGCCATGAATCCTGATGTTCATTCATCCATGTCTTCAGTCTAGAGATTTTCAAAACCCAGTGTGTTAAGGCACTGCTAAGCACACAATGTTACGCTAACGCTTACCTTGGAAGGACACTGGAAACCTCTATGCGCGCATAGTAGTAAACACAACCATGCCAAGCACTACCATAAATCAGTTTAGCACAACTTTTCTGTTAAGCGGCTCCATGAGATAGGGCCTTGATCATTAGTACAGGCCAACACCTCAAAATACTTAGACATTGTTACATTTGTTATGAGCCAGAGACCTTTCTGATATTAGCCAGTTTTCCTTTCTTACTTGCCCATACGACAAAATGGAAAACAGTTTAAAGCCTGTTTCCCTTGTTGACTTTCGACATTTGTTGACTTTTAGTTGCGTACCTGTGCAACTGATGGAATTTTGTCTGGAGTTAAGATGACTTTCCATTAATGAGCACATTTTGTTGTTGATCTAGTAGCTTGACTTCTCTGACGAATCCCCCACTGGGTCTGTTGTCTGTCTGCCTGAAGTGCATCGGGGTCCTGGCTAAACACCAGCCCAGACAGGTTTGCTAGATTTTGTTGCGCTTGAAACATTTTAGCCATTTTTGAGCTAATCCTTTTGAAATATCACTTAAACATCGATACCGTTTTTAATGTACACATGTATCGTACTTTCAGGTTTGGCAGAGTATACAGAAGTCTGGTTTCCTACCCCATACCGGCAATGTGTACAGTGATGCAGCAGAAGCAGTCAGGTACAAAAAAAAAATAACTCCATTACCTTTCTTTTATTTACAAACATTGACAGGTATTCTGTATGGGCAGCCAAAGTTTACAAAAGTTCTCCCTTGGTTGGCAACCAATTTTGCCTCAAACGGCTTTTTTTTTTGTTAATGACTTTGAAATGGGGGCTTTTTCATTTAATGTGTATTTAGCATTTAGGAATTTGCTGTAATCTTTTACTGTATTATTTGGTTTTGCACTTAGGGCCAGCCATGGTTTTGCCAACCACAGTTGTTTCAGTTCCATCCCATTTATTGCCAATCTTACAAATTACCCACACAAGTTACATTTTCAAAAGGTAGTTTGTTAGCATCTAAGGTCACATCTCATATTCCGTTACCCTGCCCCCTTGTGGTATGGTTTAGTGGAGAGGGTATCTACCCAGCTGAATATGGCAAGCTGCTAGCCAGCCAGGAGCAACCCACGGGGGAGTATCCCGTCACCCTGGAGTTTCTCCGCCTCCTCAAGACACTCCTCCAGGTAGGCCAAGTCCTTATCACTGCACCTCATACATATCCATGATCGAGAACCAAATTTTCATTGATCCATTCACCATTACGTGGCAGTAGCTATTTTTGCCATAGGGCAGGCATTCACATGAAGGTCTGGGCATGAATCTTATTTGGTGATGGACTAAAGTATTCTCATGGAATAGTGTGGTAGAACTGCTTCCTGGGTACAGTGTGAATACGCAAGCATCGATCGCCATAGCTGCTCTTGGAAAAATAGTGCTAAGCCTACATGTCGACGAGCACCTTTAGATAATGCCTGAATTTGTAATGGCAAACGGAAATACACGAGGTTCAGTGAAACAAATTGAATTTGTTTCATTTTGGGTGGATGGTTGAAGTTGAGGATGAAAAACTAATTTCATTTTAGTACGTACTTTGTCATTTTCAAAGAAAAGGGGGGGGGTTTAAAAATTGACAATTCAATCTGACACTCTACCATATTTGTGTAATGATGCCCTGCACAGCAATGTATTTAGGATCAATCAGCAGAACTTGGTGCTGCCTAGCATTTGAAGTATTCAGAACATCTTGGGTCGGGCTTTGTTACAGGTTTGTGACTGCAGTGTCGTCATATTTGCACAGCAGTTTTTGAAGTTGCATAACCCGCCATTTTGAACCCCCTTTATTGTTTTCATTGTGAAAAGTGTGGCAAGAAAATCAGATCATAAGAAGATGGTTTAAGGGCCGTCGATAAAAACACCGAGTTTTACTCACTTATCTTCCCAGAACTCATGTTCATACCTCTCGGAAGGGTGTGTTTCCATGGTACAATTACCAGTCTTTCAGTTTGCACTTTATCACTGTGCAGAACTTCCAAATTTAAATTGAATGAAGTTGCGTTCAGGGTCTGTGTACAACACACTGATCCCGTGTTTTTTTTTTGTTTTTTTTCATTTGTTTATCACGCATTCAGGGTCTGTGTACAAGCGATGTTGACGTTGCTACGTCCCAGGACCTGCTAGCGTGCGTAGTCTTTGTACAGCGAGAGATATTCACAACTTTCCACAATTGGAGATACGCTCGCTTTGATGACAGGGAAGAAGTGGGTAGGTTGATATTTATGTCATTTACTATGCTCACAGACTGGCTGCCTGTGAAGGCACACAATGGTGTATTTCCACAGAAGATATATGTAGGAAATTGCATTTACTGCTTTATATAGTGATAAAAGGAGCATTCTTGTTAGTTACAAGTCAGTTGAAAGTTCAAATTAAGGAATAAAGCCATTCTGTATAAAGCCATTCATTCTGTACCCAATGAGTTGTTTCACTAAAACAAAAAAGGCTGCCATCTTCATTGTTGTAAACTGTCACATGTTGTTGTTATTAATTAGTCTTATTGACTGATTTCTACCTTAGAATCATTTGAATCTATTCTCCTTTCAGCAAGTGCTTCAAGCATGTTAATGCTGTCTTGATTCACACAACTTGCAATTTAGTGTCTTGACGTTACTGTAAAATGGCCGGTACTTTTAAATCTGAATAAAAATAAAGCGAAGACTCAGTGCAGCCCTCCATCCCCTTGCCCTCTCATTTCTGCTGTGTACAATTTCTTGTTTTATGTCCGCGCACATGACAGGCAAGTGCAGTCTGGACGTTTTCCACGTGGTGCTCCACGTTCTTCCAGCCATTAGCAGAACCCAAACAACCCAAGGTGCCTCTGACAAAGTCAAGAGGTAAGTCTCCAGGATGATATTCAAGACAGATGCATTGGTTTTCTGATTTGTATAACTAGGTGAAAAACCTTTGTATTAGGAAAATATTTACTGAAAATACAAGAACTCATTAATCTAAGGTATGATCGGCTGTATAGTCTCCACCATGAGTGTACGAATGGGCCTTTTTTTCCCAGCAATTAATGGGATATGCTTTTTCACAAGTTATGATTTGCATGATATGGGCTGAAACTGTTTTCTGCAAGTACTGATTGATAAATTATACAATTCTGTGAAATCGCTTATAGACAATGAAGATAATGATGATTACCTGTAAGGTGAGACATATGAGATGTCAACCATATCATGTGAAATGATCTTCTTGGTAATAAAGATTGGTAATGAATCTTTCCAGTTGACTTCTAATCTTACCAATTGCCAGGGCCGGTCAGAACCTGTAAATTCATCCAACACTGAATTGCAGCCAGGATTTATTACATGGCCCGGCATGGCTGAAGCCAATTCATCAAGTTTCAGACATTCGTTTTCCTCTAATTCGAGAACTGTCTCCTGGGGTTCGGCATCACTTAGGCGGTTAATGTCTTTATGTCCTTGTCTGAGATTGGCAGCTTGCCAGATAAATTCAATGAACCATAGGGTCTTTCAGTTTTGTCAGTGACGTACTCAACGTAGAGCCAAATACTGAACACAGCTGTCCTCGGTGCAGTTGGAATAGTGCATGTATTCTGCAAGGATTCAATGATGGTGTCATTTGATAAAGTTTTAACGGCTAAACTCCATGTACATGTAATATCCGTGGAAGAATAAGGTTATGGATTTTCTCCTCTTACTTTTGCACAGCCTTTATAATCTCTTAATGGTACACTGGTGAAAATGTCCCTTCCAAACCATTGGTTGTCATCAAAACTGCACTTCTCAGAAGCCATTTTTTCCCCGTACTTGATGTCACCGCAAACCCTACCCATTTATACTCTCACCTTGCAAGGCTTCAAAGCATACTAAGCTTTTATATTCATTGTTTTACAGTTCACATCTGTACATTTTTATCCATGTTATCATCAGTACACATGCAGGACTTTTGAACTTTTCAGAATGAAATATATAATATGTTAGCTTAAATTTCAGTAACGACATTGATTAATTTTATGGGATTGCTTCAAGCATACATTTAATTTGGGGTTTTTGTGTTTTTTTATGTTCATCAGTGAAGTTGCTTGTTTACATTTCATTCAACCCATAGTGTAGTGTCAGTTCGTGAGACCTGCATCCATGGCTTTCTCTACACCCCAGCAGGTGAGGCATTGCTGTTTATCGTTGCCTCAGGCATTGACAACCTGGAACAGAGAATCATCGATCAAGGAAGGTCAGTTTCAAGGGAAAACATGTGCCTAGAAATGTAAACAGTCTGTAGTATTGTGGCATTTTTGTTAATATTGAATTTGTATATTACAAGAAATATAGAATATCCAGGCGTTGAACTTATCCTTTTCATGAGTAGCCCTGTAGGCTAGAAGAGTGCAGCTTTGTACTATATTTTACTAGTCCGTACCTTTCGCTCGGCATACAGTGCAAAAAACTTTAAGTACAGTTTACAGAGGGCACTGTTGTACATAGACCCTGTATCAAACGTTACCTGAAGTGAATCGGTATATGACACATTTCAGTTGTGAAACCAGTTAAGGTTAGAAAGGTTGATAATGATGTGAAAGGGAATAGTGTGCACATGTGTGGTACCCTGCCATGAGCGGTATTCTGTACTACGCCAAAGGCCCAGCAATCTGCTCCGTTCATGCAATCTTGGGAGGATTGTGCGTGCATGCTCATATTCTGGAAACACAAAGAAAATCATTCAGTTTGATTTACATGTATTTGGATCGGATATTTACTTGATACTGAAAGCATTACATGCATGCCTGCCAACAGTTCCGATTTTTAAGTTTTTAGAACTTAAAAAATTGGAAGGCTTCAATTTCCATAAAAGGGAAAAATAAATAAATGAAAAAGTGCTGACAAAAATTGCGTGGAGTGATTTTCACTTGATCCCTACACTGCACTAGTATTTTGAGCCCTGAATATCCCATGAACCCCAGATGTTTACCATGGAAAGAACATTTTTCCCCTATCTCAACCCCAGTTCCTTTGAAGGTGCCGCCGCCCGCCTGTCCCAGCTCATCAAGATGTCTCTCTCCATCCTCAACCGTCTGCTCCTCCTCAGGCCCCCCAGCCAACCCCCCTGCCCCCTGGAGCAGGCCCTGACCTCCCACACCACGGGCCTGCCCCACCAGCCCCACCTCATCGGCTTGGTGGCCGGCTACATCTATCACCGTCATGACCCCCGCCTGCCTACGCTGGCCACGCTGCTACTCAAGAGGGTTGCCATGGTGAGAAATGCTTTACTTTATCTTTGCTCTATCTTCTCTTCTGTCTTCATCGCAGTTCAAAAATTGTAACTATGAAATTATCTGCCCTAAGTGCACATAATGGCAGCTTTTTTTATTCATAGCTTCGTCTCCGTTGAATGCTTTGTCTCTAAAATAAATCCCCAAATGTAGGCCTAGAGTGTTCAAATTAAATAGAAATACTTCAATATTTGGCAAGGTTGCATGTAGTTCAGTGCCCCAGTGCAGTATTTGACATATTATTGAGCTAACAACTTCAAAGCCAGGAGGTTAAACATTAAGGCAAAGCCTGAGATAGGGGCAAAGCCGAGTATCAGAAAACTCCAAAAGTCATAAGTGCAGAGGTCTGTTGAAACACAAAGGTGCATTGCCAAGAATTGTAGTGACATAATCACATTGCACAGACTCGATAAAGGACTCTGTTCTTACATAACTGCTTGCTGTACTGCATATGGAGTCCACATTCCACTACACTTCTGGAAGATGCCTGAGGTTATAAGAGCTCGGCAAGAGTTTGGAAATCTGACTTGACTAGAGTTAGTTCAGACACGCTATCAGTTGAATCCAAACTGTCCACTTTCCTGTCAGGTTGCGCCTATGTCCATTTTTGGCTGTCTTGGGAGTCAGGCAGCGGCCATAAGGGACATCTACCTGTCTCGTCTGCAGGCACACTCGGAGGTAATTTCATACGGAAGGGCTGTGTAGCACCGTGATCAGAATATTGACAAAAATATATAATAACACATCAGTGCTCAGAAATACATGATTACCGAGCTTTCGGTAACTGAGTACCTTCTTTAGGGTAAGCAAATTCAGTTCGATGTAATTTTATTATTGATTCTTAATGAACATTTCTGATAACGAACCCAAGGATTTCTCAAAAGCAGCCTGGGCACCATAGCTTGCAAGCCTGAAGAAAGCTGTAAGGTGGAGACAGAATCAGTTACAGTTTTAGAGGTGGAAGAATATGCCAGAAGAATATTCTGGGTGAAAACCAATCCAAACCAGAGCTACTGCAACCAACAATTTTTCACAAGTATGTGAAGAATATAATAGGCATATTGTGGTAGTTGCTTAGCAATACTTGCCTTCACTTAACGGTGTCAGGATGAAAGATTAAAGGTCGGCATCCTGGAACTCTTGACGGTTGCCGTGGAGACTCAGCCTGGACTGAGCGAACTCTTCCTGAATTTGGAGAAGGTCAAGCCGGCGTCCGCGGAGAGGCCAGAGAGTGAGAAGCCCACTGTGCCATCCAGCCCAAAGGTCAGTCGCAATGATGAATTCCGACCTTTCATCAAACAATTGGCGTCTTTTAGCACACAATACCCACAGCCTAGTAAAAGGTTTTGTCCTTTAAATCTTCACTGTAGTTTTGTTTCTCTGTCTTCCAGGTGGAGATTGGTAAAGTCAGCTGTCTGCATGCTGTGCTGGACACCATTGAAGAAGTCAAACAGGTATTCCCTGAGAGAGTGTACCTTTATTCAGCATTGATACTTGTATGCAGTGGTTGATCAAGCACTGGCTTGCTGTGCGCCGTCTCACATGCATGCCAATTTCCATGTAAGGAGATTGTTTACAACTATTCATGACAGGAGTACACAATAACATGGCTAGAGGGATCATTGAAAAAAGTGGAGTCAAAATGTTCGACAGAATCATCAGAAATGTATAATTTTTTAAACTTATTTTGAGTGTATGACTCAAAAGGTATTTATGAAGTATGTGCTAAACCAGTCTTATATGTTTGGGCTAATTACATATTCTGTTACTAATTTCTGTTTTGTGTAACATTCAACAAACATGGTTGCTGTCGTGTTGGGAGCCTTTGACATCCATTTTTCATTGAAATATGTTTGTACATGTATAAAGTGTAAAGGCCTAAAATATGTTAGTTTTATGGTGAAACACATGATCAATTTGCAAAGGAGAGAATCGCACAACAAACTCTGCGTCGTTTGTGTAATTCCACATGACCACTGATTTGAATTTGGCCAGATTAATTTGTTTATTTGAAAAAAAGATATCAGTCAGTTGGGCCGTGCTAGCAGTCAATCCAGTTTTCGAAACAGTCTTCCATGGCAGTGAATTAGAGGGAACAGGTTATCTTCTGATGACAAATTGATTTGTTTAGGATTGACCGACAGCACAGTGTCGATCATGATCATGTATGTACATTTACACCTATCACAGCCAACCTTTACATTGTTTGGCCTTTGTTTTAGGGTTCTACTCATTGTCCACCGGACCTTCACTGTGCTGCCCTGGGGTTCCTCCAGGCACTCTGGCTGGACTGTAGAGAGACTGCCCTCTCTGTGCTGCGCACCAGGTAGGGCTGTGTAATCTACCCAAAAAACACCATGGCTGATTTTGCAAAACCTGATCCCACCAGTCAGTGCAAAAGCTTTACATTACACTTCAGATTTTTGGCACGGTTGTAGTCAAGTTGAAGTCGATTTTAATTTTGGACTTTTTGCCCTGTCTGACGTGTATTGTAACACTGTATACTCAGTGTTTCCCCCAATTGTTGTGGAAAAAACCACAAGGTACCAGGGTGGGATTCGAACCCACGACTTCCTGCTTACTAGTGCAGACGTCATAACCACTTGACCACCAAGCTTGCCGGTATCAGTTGGCTGGTTCGAGTCAGATGTAGCCGTGGGTACCGCGAACAGCTTTTTCCAAGGATGGATTTGCGTCGGGAGATGTCAATTTAATGTTACATTTAAATTAAAATCTACTTGTTCCTTATGATATAGCGCCCTCTTACAGTTTGTTCATCTATAGGATCTGGGTGTTTCATGTGATATTGCCCCCTTTTGTGACAGACTTTATCATCCGTAGACTTTCCACATAATTATGTACCCCTGAGATATGTCATTCTACATAAGCACAGGATCAGGATGTATCACATGATATTGCTCCCGACAACATCTGAGTTGTTAATTTTCATTTCATTTTTTTAGACCTAAATTCTGGGATGATGTAGCTGCCCCTCTGTTTAAAGATCTTGAAGTTCCAGAGGGAGGAACACAGGTAGACTTGACTAGTGTAATGATGGCATTGTGTACCGTTGGTTTGTAGTGTATTTAAAAGTGTTATACAAGAATGCAGTTTTAGAGTATTGAAGCGTGATCTCATTTGAACCAGGAAGTGTAGTGTAAACAAATGAAGTATGCACACATATCGGTTCATACGCTGGTTCTCGCGCTAATGCCTTTTACACACATAATTGTGGGCATGACTTACTCACTTCGTTACACTATAGTTGATATGTTGAAGTATAATTGCGAACTATAATTTTACAAAATTTATATCAGTGGGGTCCCTCTTGATGTTGAAATTGTTAGCATGTCTGAATAATACATTTTGTAATGTTCACCAACCTCTAGATATTTCTTAATAAATGGAATGAGGCCTGCTTTCATGATTATGTGTTGTTAACCACTGTGTTGAATCCGTTGGTGTTTCCAGGCAATCAGTTCTGAGATCAAAATCCGCGCCTACGCCTTCAGGATTCTTGCACTGGAGTGTTACTACGTCTCAAGGTATACAGAAATAGTCATTTCTCAGAATTTGGCATGGCTGAAATCTGTCTCAAAGGCCAGAGTGCCTTTTGAACAGTCTTGATTTTCGTCAGGGCCCACTTTCAGGGCTCTCTGCTCAGATCTCCCGCAAAGAAAGTTTTGGCCAGTCCTTTAAGCACAGAGGGCATAGTTGTGAGATGTAGGCCTGTGCACAAAATACACAGAATTGGCAGTCACAGTAAGCATAGATTTTCCTGACACTGTTCTTGTTAGACTTCAACAACTTGTTTTGTGCACTTTTTGTGTTAGGTGCTCACAGAAATACCAATATTCCCACAATCTCCCAAATAAAATGCATTGCACACCTACATGTATGAAAAAAATATATAAAACCCTTACACACCAGATTTCAGATTGTCATTCGGTGGTGGTAGAACTTGAATATATTTGATTCAAAGTTCCAATTTGTTTTTTTTTTCCCAGTGAAAATCTTCAGAAGGGTCTAAAAGCTGTTCTGAGGAAGCTGAAGCAAGAGGACAGATACTCACACTGGTCAAAGGTAAAGGTCAGAGTTGATTTTGGACAGCCTTAGGGAATAGAAACCTAACCTTATATTGGTATAAGAGACTTCTAAATGTTTGATTATTACCAATCTTGCAAATTTACCTGTGGCGTTAAACAGTCATTTTAGACGCTCTGTTTTCTCATGCTACAAACCCTGTCCGTTAACCGTTCAATCTCCATAGCTTCAGTGTTCTCTTTCAGCTTTGTGTCTTCTTGGTTATTCAAAAGAGAGAAAAAAATCCCAAAGCAGGTTTCCTTGAGTAGAGCTTCTAAAGCACCTGTGCAACTTCATTTTCCCAAGATATTTGATGCAGTGTTACTAGACAGAAACAAGGAGATCTGTCTTGGTCTCCCACTCCAGTTCACTGTGTTTCAGCCAGTGCAACAATATTGACTTTCTTACAGTAAGTGTCTGTTGCATGGTGACACTCGAAACATGAATGTATCTCAATTATACTGGAAGAGTTGGCCCAGTTATGTATTATGCCTGTGTTGACCGTCTCCCCAGTGCGTCCATTCCCTGCTGGAGTCTGCGGCCGAGCAGCAGACAGACCTCGAGGAGTACCTGATCCGTCAGCACCAGCTGTTGGTGCTGGTGCAGGCCTGGCGTACGCTCCTGCTGGTATCCACCTCAGCTAACGTAAGCCTGATACTCTTTCTTGAGTTAGCCATGGGGCCCTGATTCCTTGCGTCTGTCTGCCTTGAGCAGAAGCAACCCCTCATCGTTTGAAAAGAGCCATGTTGGTGGGAAGTATTTATTTTATTGGTAGCCATGAACGCAAACATTACGTGTGCATTTCACATTCGTATGTGAACCATCAAATGTGCGGTTCCCACCAAAGGATCCTACATTGCTAGGAAAAATGTGCCCTCTGTTGATCCAGCTCGGGGCTCATGGCAGAAATTATTAGGGTATTAGGGAAAACCACCAACATAAGGCTGAATCACTCAGTTGATAGAGTGCCAACACAGTGCTCTGGTGGTCACGGGCCAAAATCCTGCTCCATTCAATTTCTTCATTCACCTTTTTAATATTTGATAGAGGCACATAATCAGTTTCCCTGTTTGGTTTTTTAACTTAATTTACAGCTTAGATAATTTTTGTACGAAGCAAATGTCAGCTGTGAAGCGGTTATACATAATGAGAATTTGTATGTCATTTTGAGCAGCAACCAGTTTTTGCAAACAAATAGTTCTTGCCCTAAGCAACTTTCTGTGCATAATCTTTTGTTGAAAAACAAGAAAACGTAGACACACGGTGGGAATGTATGTGCATAATGTTGTACATATTCTCAAAAATGAGTAATTTTGCGAGACAGCAGTATATGGATGGCAAACATACCCCTGTGAAATACCTTCTGTTGCCATCCATGAGCCTCATATCTTGTCCTCATATCATATGCCTGTGTCAGGCAAGGCAACACCTTCCAAAGCTTCCAAAACTGTGTTGTTTGCTGCTTGGTCCTATTCTATCACATGGAGCCCTCTCGTGACAGAGCACAAATTTAAATGAAGTTGACCTCGCTTCTGAGGGCATGTGAACAACCTGCAAACCATTCTCAGACCTTACAGAGGCATGGAGACTGTGTTCTGAGGTTTTCCCCAAAGCAGCTGAACTTGCCGTCAGTAACTGACAATTCCCTTCCCTGTTATATTCTTGACACGCCCACACAAAGCCTGCACTAGTGTGTATGTTCTCCTCCACTCTCAGGGCAAAGCCGTGGAATTGTCTGACACTAAGGTCCAGTCGGCCATCTTGTCCGATATTGCGGCTTCCATCGATAGCCTGGTTAGTATCTCTGAAAAGTTGAACTTTATTATGCTGTTGAGTTCACTGAAACATGCTATGAGGATGTTGATAGTATTAATGATATTGATTGGATTAAACCACCTGGTGAAATGTCTCTGTCAAGTCTGCTGTGTTAGGTCAGAAGAAACTGGACAAGTAAAGACCGATTCGGCGACCGCAGTGAGCCAGTTCAGTATTCCAACAGAGCATGATATGCCTGCAGTTCAAGAACACACACGTAAATGTGGTGCTGGGCACAATAATGACATCTCCTCATATTTCTGTGCCTTGAAACTTGTAGGTTTGGGATAGATACAGACAATGATTGCATATAGTTGACTCAGTAACACAATTGAAAGGAGTGGTTCATGTGTAACATCACGTGTTTGCTTTGAAGACTTCACTTTTTTACTTCATGGCCGAAATTCTGCATATGTCATCCTGCAGTGTTTCATGTGTCCTGCATGGTTTGCAGAAACTTTGCATTCAAGAAGCCACACAAGTGTAATGCTTTGGGAAACCTCTAACATAAACCTCATATTCACACTAGGAAATTTCCCCAAGTGTTCATCTTATGAATTATCTTTTGTACTGTTTTCCTTTCCAGTCCTGTCATCTTGACTCTGTCCTGAATCAGAAAGCCTGTTCCCTGCTGTCCAGTCTCTACATGTCACTCCTGACACACTGGACAAGGTAACGGCTTACTAAAATGTATCTCTGTCCAAGGAGATTGGACCCAAGTGCATACCATGCTGTTAGAGACTGATTACTCTTGACTTGTTCTTGTGTAAGAAGTGGCTGTCATCCACTCAACATTGTACCTTCTACAGTGTCCTCCGAGTGCCACATTTTGAATTTGGTTAGGACTGATAAATATTTGAAAGGAGCCCACTTGAGTACCTCCCAATTTTGAGTGCATTTAGTGCATTTCTTGGCATGTTAGTTTTTCCCGGGAAAAAAATTTAGTGAGATGAAATATTCCAGAATGTGAATGTTGCACCCACCATTGTAAACTTTGTCGCCAGACGTCAAAACTTGGTGGCTACTTGTTGCACATGGTGAGAGACAAGCAAAACTTGGCAGAGTGCCAGGCTACTTTAATAGGTTGGAGAACACTGAAATACATTTAGAAGCTTTTGGTACTTAAATCTAGTAAGGTTAAACTGCAAACTCCTATTTTTGTGAGTTGAGATGCATATTTCAGTGTATCTGCTATATGCTATCAACCAACCAGTGATCTTTATTAGTGTCTACCTTGTCCATTTATTTCTCTCTCACAGTCACAACAAATGGTTTGAATAATTGCCAGATATCTACATGAATGCACATTTTTGGTTGCATTCTCAGCAAATCTGTTCACATATTTGAGTGTGTGATTTTTCTTAAAGCTCTGAGGTTTTGTTAGGCTTCCTACCAAATCCCACAGAATCCAACGACATTGGAGCGTGAATCTGAATCCAATAGAATCCTTCAACTTGTTTATTCTTTTACTTGTGACAAGGAAGCATTCCATAGATTAAACAAAGTGAGCCATATTGCAGCAACAGTGTCACATTTTTTGGCCACCCTTTGATACACGAAGGGGAGATTTTGTGTCGGTCACTGAATAGGTTGATAAATTAGTCCAATAAAAGTAGGCCATTGAAAGTCATGCTGCCATCTTCTTTAATTCTGGTCCAGCACCCAGGTCAGTCAGTGGAAGCACGTAGACATTCTGGTTGACGTGCTGGAGAGAATCACCGACTCAGACTCACCAGGACTTGGCAACGCTGCCACAGCCATCATGGCCGCTCTCACTACGTTACTCAAGCAACGCACCAGCAAGCAAGGTAGCACTTGTATATCAATTCTTTTTCCATAGTACTGGTTGTTCAAAATCACCCAAATTGCTTTATTCCCTAGCCATTACCAAACTCTTTGCAACATCAGTCAAACATATTTTTTGCTAAACTGTAGATTTTTGTAAAATTTCTTCAACCACTATAGGTGTTAATGTTGAGTTCAAACATGAAGCACTTCTCACTGAAATGCCAATTTAAACCAATGTCACAATGAATGTGTCTGACTAGTGGAAATCTCTGGAGTTACAGTGGAGACACATTTACTAATGACGAGAAATGTTTGTCTGGCAAGAATTTCATTGTTAAATGAGTTCTTGGAAGTGAATTTTACTTAAGGTTGTGTGCGCCTATTGTACTCACTACCTTATTACTCTACAACGAACTTGTCCCAGACATGGCACTTTTTTGGCCCGAAATGCCGACTTCTTAAAATGACAAGATAACAAAACCGTAGTCCTTTACAAAATTGGACTTTACAAATACCGACCCCCAATGGTTATTTGTTCAACATTTGTGTGACATTTCTTTTCACATTTCTGCCTTTTTGAAACTGGGAGAGAGTGTGCCTGGGTGATATGTACTGCCCTGCCAGGCTGTGACCCACACTGGCTTGACGTCTCCACAAACACTGTACCTCTACAGATCGGTTTGAGCCTCTTCGTGTGCAAACCCAATTGTAATTACTCAAGCATGAGGCTGAGTAAAGACTTCATCCACTTCTGCATACAGAAGTTGCCGAGTCATGTTTAAATGCCCTCCCTTAGGAGAGGAGTATAGAAAAACCTGGAGTGTCAGCATGCCATCTGATGGAAAGTGGTTAAGGAGTGACGTGATTTGCAGTTTCGTAAACATTGGCTGTTTCCCCATGGTCACATTCATGTGATCGCTGTCATGCTTTGTGCACTTCGGTTTTCATTTGCAGCCCTCCATGTGGAAACGATGGAAACTCTCCTTCCGATCATATGCCTGGCACTGCAACAGAGCAGCCAGTTCTACCTCAAGTCCCAGGGTGACATCAATAAGTCCCTTCCTTCTATCAAGGGGTCTGCTCAGGGGTTTGTCAGTGGGAGGAGTCAGGAGTATGGCCAGGGAACTGTCACAGGGTCTGTCGGTGGCAGTGGTCTGACCGCTGACAATTTAGCTTTACCAGGTGGCCAGGGGAGGGTGGCAGGAACTAGGTCCACAAATGGACTGGAGACAAGAGACAAGGAACGTGCCAGTATGCCAGCTGTTTCCAAATATTCGGTAAGAACAGTTAACATCATAAGAACAGTTAACATCAACCTTATTGGGAAGGTTTAATCCACGAAACTTTTAAAATTACCAGGAAGTTCACCAGAATGATTTTACGGGATATAGTATTGGGGACAATATAGCAGGGCATTACTTCAACATGGAGCACCTCATAGCTCTGATAAGGGGGTGTGGAAATTCAAGAACTGAGAACTTGCCTTGGTTTCATTCACCATGGAAGATTGTGGCAGATTCAGGAAGGTCTTTGGGGAAAATACTTTGAGAGCTAGGACTTTGTTTTCTTGTAATATTTGCTTGTTCATTTTTATATGTGTTTGACTTCATTTGTGGATGATGATACAATTCTGCATGTCTGCGATGAATTGTACAGATTTTCAATACGGTGATCTTGACCTTTGTTTTGAAATGATCAGAAGAGTAAAAGATGTGGGTTTTTTGCTCATTCTGTTGAAAATTTATTCACATGCAATTAGCATTACTCATGTACAAACCAGAGCAGGCACACCATGTGTTTATCTTCTCTGACTTTTGTGGATAGGCCACCTTGTGCCATCCGCAGGTCATGGAGAGGTTCATAAATAGGTAACTAGATACGTAGGGCATTTGCAAAGGATTATCCAATTCTGCTCCCAACGTAAAAACAAAAAGTACCCGAAGTAACTAGAGACAGTCCCGCCATGAATAAGCAGTGATTTAGTTCTTTCTTTATGAATTGAAACAGATGCCAACTATCGCTGCGTATCTCCTCGATGAGCTGCTAGTCGGTGAGAAGACAAGAACCAGCATGTGGTTGCCGCTGCTCAGACAGCACGGCATGCTGAACCTGCTGCTCACCACCCTGCAGTCCTGCCTACAGGTAATTGCAAGTTGGACCAAAAAGGCTGTAGATTCGGTATACAAAATCCTGGCCTTACAGATTGGGTAATCTTGTAGTGCACGTTTGGCTGAGAATTGTCCTTCATTAATGTCACTCGTGTAAAGTGAGTGAAATGAGATTCTTTGTCTTTAACCCCAAAAGAGCTAGGGGCATCCCACCCACGTTTTCTCCAATCAATTTCATCACAGTGCATTGTTTCCACAAGCCAAACCTTAAGGAATTTTTTCAGTGATAACTTGCAGTCACTTGACACCAATTCTGTGAAAATCAGACGTGCCATTCCAGTGCAACATTTATTTTAAGACAGTTCAGCTGACAAAATAATCTGGCCCTTTGAAGGTAAATGTGCCATATATTCTGGTGACGGGGCCTTTCGTATTGTCAAATTCTTTCACCTACTTGAAAAGTATGCTATCTTACTGTTGGCAAATAGAACTGCCTGTGAGTATGATTCTTGACAGAAAATATCCAATTACTAATTCAGTTTTGGCCTGTACACAGTATACTTTATCTGAACAGTCAGTCAAATCGCTTGTGCCTACACTGCATTCAATCCTGCTGGAAAATGGGCACCTCTCCACGCCCAGCAGAGAGTTTTGTCTACATTGCTAACTGCATTTGTATGAAAGTGGCCTGGGATTGTCATAGAATTGCTTACAAAAAACAGGAAAGCCTGAGGCTGCGCATTGCCTTTGAGTGATCTGTTGCATATTGGTGTTGTGTTGCAAAGTGATTGCCGCTGATCCAGCTATGTGTTCAACTGCAATCCGCCTTGAGCAGAATCACCCCCTCATTGGTTGAACAGAGCCAGGTTGGTGGGGAGTGTTCATTTTGTTGGTTTGCACGTGGCTGTAATGCGTGCATTTCACAGTCACCTGTTAACCAGCGAAGTGCAGTTCCCACCAAAAAAGCTTCCGTTGCGAGGAACTTGTGCCCTCTCTTGGTCCAGGGTTTGAAGAGCCAATCTCGCTGCTGTTTACATTTGCAGGTCAGGCAGGGATTACACTACTCTGAGGCTGTGCTGTTACTGCTTCTGGACTTGGCTAGTATTCCACAGGTAACACACACCATTGTCGCAAGTATAATTTGAAGCTAGCCACAAACGTGAATAGAATTTTGCATATGGACCTTATTTATGAATCGGCCATATTGAAATGAAAGGGATAGTATCTCTTCATATTTTGAACTTGAAAGCATCAATGAAAGAAGAAATGAAATATATCCTGTGAAAATGTTTTACCTGCCTATTCTGGTGAATTATGTGATATTTGTGATAAAACATGCTTTAGTGTTTTGTGCCAGATTAAGGAAAAGTTGAAAAGGAGGCTTGGAACCCACAGAAAAGTCCTAAAACAGTCTTGTACCATCCCATTCAGCAGGCAACAATTTAGAGCAAAGACGCAAGGGACAAGCTCCAAAAATGACCAACTCAGGAGTGAGGTCTATTTTGTGAAGGAGGTGTAACTAGACCCCTAGTTCTCCTGCACTGTCCAGAGCAATTGAGCATGTGCATCAAGCATGTAAATAGATGGCCTGGAGGACAGTATGGGTTAATATGTTCATGTAGGATCACAGCTGTGACGTTGTATCATTGCTGTACCATGTAATTAAGACCAATGTCACCAAACCTTGAGGAGTGTCACAGATATGGCAACGACTGTGTGCATGCAGTTCCATAATGCTCACGTAAAAGTTTCTGAATCAGCTGCAGTCACCTTGGTTAGGAATAGGTTCACATTCTGAATGGGGCAAGTCACCTTGGTTAGGAATAGGTTCACATTCTGAATGGGGCACCAAGTCTGAATATTTGCTCAGTGGGGGACTAAGTATTTCAGAATTCTGAAAACCAAGGGGCATTCTGCTTGCATCAACCTTGATCTCTTGAGTTTTTGACAATTATGATTTCAGCTTAGTCTATTTGTTGTCCAAGTTACAGACTCGCACCCTGCATGAATTTGATCAAACAATTTCAAACATTTTGTGGTGTTAAACAATTGTGCAGAATTTTTGGAACTGGGCTGCTGAACTACAAAAAAAAAGCTGTCCTGATTTTTGAACCAAGGAAAGCGGGTAGCAGACAAACATTACACAAACCTAACTCAGGGATTGGAAAGATGGAATATGTGAAAACTAGTGCGTCTAGGGATATCACAATTGACAGCATTTGTGGTGTAATTTACCATGATGTACTTGGCAGGCTGCAGAATCCATGCAGACCACGGGTCTGGTACAACAGATATGTCTGCCACTGTTGCAACTACATCAACAGAATGGGGAAGATGCAATGACCTGGAGCAAGGTTGCCAAGGTGAGAAATTGGTGTTCTCTGTGCAAGCGTATTATGTCTATTAGCTTCTGCTGTAGGAAAGCTGGTGAATGGAATGCTGAAAAAGCCTTTGAAAAGGAACTTCTTGTTTCTGTTATAAAGAACAGGCTTTGATTAAATAAACTGAATAAGAAAGTATTAACTGAAACAGGATTGGAACCGGTTGCCTGTGGAATGCTGTTCCGGTGGTTTATTAATGGAGCTGTCTGACCCAACTTTGGCGGTCTTCCAGTTAATTCAAGGTTGTTGTTTCTGACCGGGCGATCACCAACATGGGTGTGGATGCTCAGTAGGGAGGAATCTGCGTAGCAATTCAGAGATACCAGGTTCAAATCCCACTCCACTCGGTTTTCTCTGCTCAACCAAACTATTGGTATGTTGTTATCATGCCATGTGCAACAAGATGCGGTAAATATAGGTTAGGCTTGCGGTTGCCCCATGAGGGAGAAAATATCTCTTTTTTGAGTGTGTGGTTCTGAGAAGAATCGATGGTGAACACTCGACGTTCCGAACAGTATGCTCTGTTTGTCTTCAGGAGGTTGACTGGTTGCCTGGCTCAGAGAATGCTGGTTATAAGTGCTGGGGAGGATGCTAAGGGTGCACTGGAGCAGAAAGGCTTGCTGACGGTGGATCTGCTGGCCTGAAAGGCTACTGAGTGCATTCACTGATGCGTGGCAGTGTCGTATAGGGTTTAGTGGGAGGAGGAACTAGTGACTGTGGGTATAGATGACCCGTTGGTCTGGGAGGGTAATATGGAGTGCCAGATGCTGCTGATGTGGAATCCAGCGTCTTGGAGTACTGCGTCGTGTTTGTGTATCTCGATAGCTTCCCTGACGCGTCTTGGGGACCATCTGTTCGCTGTAGATGGTATGCCCCAGGGAATCATCTGGGTGGCACGAGACCTTGACATCCAGGAAAGGAATGGATTTCCTCTCCTCCTGTTCCATTGTGAACTTGATGTTGGGATGCAGGTCATTTAGGTGATCCAGGAACGCTTGCCGGTGCTGGGGGCCATGTGGCCAAATGACAAAGGCATCATCCACATAGCGTAGCCAGGTGCTTGGGCGGTGATCTGCTGTGTCAAGTGCGGTACTCTCAAAGACTTCAATGAACATGTCAGCCAGGACCGGGGATAGAGGAGATCCCATGGAGGTCCCAGATGACTGTTGGAAGAACTTGTCCCTCCATCTGAAGTTGGCTAAACGAGACACAGGTTAGCAACAGGTCATGGATTTGGTCCGGAGATAGGGCTGTGCACTCACAGAGAGTGGGGTCTTGCTGTAGACGTTATTTGGCAATGAGGCATGCCTCGCCTGTGGGGACATTGGTGAAGAGGAAAATAACATCAAAGCTGACCATGATGTCATCATAGCTGAGTTGCAGTTGCTTGATCATCTGAACAAACTGATCAGCGTTGGACACGTGATGTGGGGATTTACCCACCAAGGGTTGGAGAATTGTGATAAGGTGCTTGGTGGTGTTGTACATGTAGGTGGGGCCTCCTCTCGAGCCAACAATGGGACAGAGTGGGGTACCGGGTTTGTGTATCTTCGGCTGACCAAACAACCAGGGGCTGGTGGAGCTGGAGGGTCTGAGCTGTCTGTACAGCTGGTAGGGGATTGCATCGGAGCGGTGGAGTGCCAATAACTTGCTGCCGATCTTCAGTTCAACAGACGGAGCGGGGTCTTTCTGCAGGGGGCGGTAAGTAGGGATGGAGAGCATGTCAGTGACCTTACTGACATACATGTAGTCGGCCTTATCCATGACTACTGTTGCATTGCCTTTGTTTGCTGGCAGGATGTCGATGGACTCGTCTTGACGCAGGTTCTTGAGTGCTGTGAATTCTTGTCTTGAGAGGTTGGTCTTGGGCGGCTTGGCTTACTTGATGGATCTGGATGCAGACTTCCCCTGCTGCTGCCTTGTTCAGGTGTTGTAGCACTGGTTCTGTAGACTGGATGATGTCCTCAACCGGGATGGCTTTTGGTGGGACAGCAAAGTTCATGCCCAAGGACAGGACCTTGGTTCCTGATGCTGTGAGTTGTCGCTGGGTGAGGTTCACTACTGTCTTCTTGATGAATGCTTGCTGGGATCGAAGTTGCGTGGCCCGGCCTTGTTGAGGTGGAAAAGGAGATATATTCTGAACAAGGTGTTTGGGGCACAGCTTGGCAAATTTCTTGATCTGCTTGCGGCGGGAAGTCTTGTAGGCATGGAGGCTGGATGACTGGGTGAGGGCTTGAATCTTGGAGAAATCTCTTGGCTGGATCGTATCTTGAAGAGTCTGCCGAGAGTTGTTCATCTGCTTGTCCAGTGATGCTAGCTGGGATCTGGTTCTTGAGATCTGGAGTCACAGTAGAGACCGGTTGGAATCTTGGAGTATGTGGCTGGACCGTGGTTTCTGATGGGATCCTTGAGGCAAAGTCCCCTTAGGATGATGTTGGAGTCACGGCAATGTTTCAGGAAAGTCAAGTTGTTGATAAGTTTCGAACACCTGATGGAACTGCGTTCAAATCTCCTAACTTGACTTGTGATGAGCTCCCCGTAGATGTGGTAGTTGTAGAGATCTGCAGGCCCTTGTTGTATTGAGCAACCACTTGCAAGAATATAGCCATCAATTCTTGGACAATGGGAGATAGTTCCATTGCCACTGGTAGATCTTGTGGTGGTTGGCAGGCTTGGACTCCAAGGTTGTTTTGCCGTGGGGGGAAGCTGACCTGTTGGGTGTTGTTACATTGAGAGACACCACACTTTAACAGTTGCTGTGTCTAGCGAAACTTCTTGACCAACCACTGTGGGGATAGGGGTAGGCTGGAAAGGAACAAACATTTCCATATCCCAGGGTTTCCAGCCATCCTAGGAACAGGGAAAACCTGGAACTTGAGTTTCCTTTATTTCCAGTCATGGAAAAGTCAGGGAATTTGGGGAAAAATACCTAAAATCTAGAAGAATTTGGGGAATTAGATTGGTCCAAAAGCGAAAGTGGTCAGTCTGTTATATTTCGTCGCATCTCCAAAGACCTCTAGTGACTTTTCATACATGTCAAACTGGACATAGGTCAAATAATTGTCCTGGAATTTTGAGACTTCTTCTGGCAATTGTGTTTTCCTGAAATGCTGTAACAGAGACTATTTTGAATGCATGTTCCTTTGTTCTCTGTATACAGACGGAGAAGGCAGATACACTCACCTGGCTGTCCATTTATCGCCATTCTATCTCCGTGGTGACGGTGATGCTGGGGACTTTGCAGCACAGTTTCCTATCAGATGCCTTGGACTTCTTTGGAGTTCATCGGGAACGCATGATGCAGGTTTGTTGCAAGTTGCTGCTCGGTTTATTGCATGAGCATGACAAGCACCGTCTTGTTCTGTGTTCTTGTGTGTTTGTTTCTAATATTGCATTGTCTTCGTTGAATATGCACAATAAGAAAATCCCGCATTTAAAAATGGTACACAAACAGAGACCCAGCCTCTAACTAATGGAGACTTTAAGAATACAGTAAAAAAGAAAACAAGTTAAGTCATATTTACGCAAAAAAAGGTTGAAACGAGGATTGCTATAACACTGAGTTTAAGATTTTTCCCATGAGAGTCTGAATATCAGTTGGTTTTCAGACACTAGTTTCAATGTTTATTTTAGGTCAATCAAATTATAATTATTAAGCACTTTCCAGCAGTTTAATATTTCAAAAAGGATTTTTTTTAATATAAACTTCATGTCTGAACATTGAGAATTTCCCTTCCCCTTGGGTCAGTGCCTGGATGCTGTGCGATACAACCAGAGCCGAGCCTGTCTGATGGAGGCTGAGACAACCAGTGCCTTCATCTACCAGCTCTCCCTCTTTGCCAAGGACCTAGGAAGTCGGCTGAGGACTGGCGAGGTCCAGGTGCTGCTGCTGGGGGTGACATCGCTGTGCCACAGCTGCATGGCACTGCTGATCAGGCCAAAGCTGCTGCAGTATCTGACTGAGGTGAGTGACGAGGTGAACAGGCTGGACGTCCAGTGAAGTTCTGGATTGGTGCTTTTTGGGGTTTTTTGGAATGTCACCGCTCCATAGCTACGCGGCACTGCTGATCCGGCTTTAGCTGCTGCAGTGTCTGAAGTGAGTTGTGAGGCTACCGGGCTTGTGGTCCAGTGAGGTTCTGATTGCTGAACAGGGGCTAAGTGTTCCTGTGTCGCAGCTGAATGGTGCTGCTAATTAGGCAAACACTGCTGCAGGGTCTGACAGGTGAGTTGTCAGGTGACCAACTTGAGCTTCAGTGAGGTTCAAGGATGCTGCTGTTTTGTGTAATGTTGTTGTGCCATAGCTGTATGGCGTTACTGATCAATTCACCGTGTTACTGTTTCTGACAGAGGAGAGTTGTCAGGTAAGCGGTTTGAATTTCAGTGCGCCACAGTTGTGTTTCTGATCAAATCGAGATAACAAGCTCAATGTTCAGTGAGGTTGTGCAATCCTACCAAAGCTGATATCGCACACCACAGTTGTGCTGCTGATCACACCATAGCTGCCGCAGCATCATGCAGTGATGAGTCAGGAGGGAACAGACTCAAGGTTAAGTGAAGTTTTGCACTTTAGCGGGAGGTGACGATTTAGTAGCACAGCTGTAGGATCCTGTAGTTCTCTGCTGGTGTGTTTTACTGTAGTGAGATGTGAGGAAATCGGGTGAGGTCCAGTGAGGTTCAGGGACTCGGCCCGTGAACTTTTGCAGCAGGTAACTTCTGATCAGGTCAAGGCTATTGCAGTATCTGACTTATTTTATTGTTATTTAACCAGAGGGTAAAACCCTGTCAATTATAAACCTTTTCCGTAGGAGCTCTTGGGAAAGAAACCAATGAAGAAATGTTCAGGTTAGTTGAGTTTTAACTGAGGTGAAGTGCAAGGTAACAGGCTTGAGACCAGTCCGGTATCTTCATGAGAATTTATTTCTGGGTTTTTTTTATTCTGGCAGAGGAGCGCCAAGCACGCAGACTTGAACAAGCAGCAGCGGATGGTGCTGACCATGAACGGCACCCCGGTGAGGCTACGACAGCAGACATCCATGACGGACCTGACAGAGGGCAAACTCAGCCCAGAGGTGCAGCACATCCAGGCTAGGTAGGTTTGGTTCTCGTACGGGATCGGTGCAGGGAGCAGTATCAATCTGTGTTGCCTGTCCCGGTAGACCCTGGACCATTTTGCAAACCCTTCTTTGGTTCCTGTCTTTGGCTGCACCTGTTTTCAGGTTCTCGCCTTTGTAGAGACCACCTCAATGTGAGTCGGCGTTATGCCATACAGATGTTAACTGTAATAGAAAGCCAGAGATGGTAATCTTTTTTGATTAACCTGAACATCAGTCTTAACCCCTGACGCGTTGGAATAATTGTACCGAAATGAGGATTGGGAATTGTTGGCATCAAAGGCGTACAGATGGTTCTCAGGCTAGTGACCAAATGGAAGCAAGATGAAAAAACTTTAAGTTTGAGAAAGCCTCAGTGTGATGGCATAACTATTGCTTGGACTAGATATCATCCAGTGAGTGTATGACCTCATAGCCGAAGGCCAGCAAAGTAGGCAACTTTTTCTTCTCAGAATTCTCGACCAAATGTTTCATGACAACTCGTCTCTTTCAAACTCCAACAATACACCCCCTTTTTAACTTCACAGCTGCACTTTTGGCCAACCAAAAAGGTTATGCACTTGGAACGATCTTCCTGCTTATAGAATTCCCCCAGGCCTCTGAAAAGGGCACCAAAAAGTCATCACGATGATAGGACTTGTTATTCTCAATAGTCATATTTTTTTCATTTGATTGTTTTTGCGCTCTTGACGACAGATTGCTGGTGATTCTCGGCCATGGCTTGGCTGCCCTGAGACATTTCAGCCCTGATCTGCTGACCATTCTCCTGAACCCAGTGAGCCAGAATTCTGCCTTCTATAACTGTAGAAAGCACACCTGAATAACTGCTACCCAAAAGTTCTTTTTAAATATTGCAGTGTGATTCTGAAAAGATCAGTGTGGAGCTAGCAACAGGGAAGGATAATATCAGTTACCTAGGCTGTGTCCGAATAACTTGGCTGCTGCTTGTAATTACACAGGAGCCTATGGTTGTGGATGCAGCCACTTTCCATAGAGTCGTGTAATTTCAAGCCGCAGCCAAGGGATTTGGACACTTGGGTTTTATTCACATGACAAGAGGACTCAAAATTTGGCATTCTATCATTAATGCAAACAAACATTCAACAAAAGTTTGATTTTAGGACTATTTCTCTCTGTATGGGTGACTTTAGATGGGTTTCCCATGCAGATGAACCCACAGTGTTACGTGATTATAACATATTACAAAAAGTATACTTACTGTTGTATTCAGTGTTACACCTGTTTCATTTGTATTTAATCTACAGAGTGTTGATATCTTGGAGTATCCGATGTTACTAGGTCTTGGTTTCAGCACACCGGCTCTAGAGACAGATGTCCAACCATCCTTTGGAATGCTCATTTCCTGCATCAATACATGCGTTCAACTCCTCAGTAAGGTATAGCATGAAGTTCCTGATGTTGAGTTGCGGATCTGTTCATTGACACTGACTTAATTCATGTCATGACCTTTATTACCCTGGTATTTGTGACCTGTTCTGTCAAAATGTTTCATAAGGCCATTTTTTTTTCAGTAATGTTGTTTCAGTTTGCATTGGAAAGAGCAAGTGAAGCCCTTTGATGTATCACTCATTTTGGTATCCTGATGAAAGTGGACATTGTTGGGGTTGAAAAAAATTGAGGGTCATACTAATTTCCACAATACGAGACTCTTTAAAAGGCCTGTAACTCAAAAGTGGATCTGGTGACTTGTGACTCAATCTCACAGAACAACTCATATTTGTCACTGGGGAGCAATTGAGGAAAAAATTAGGATAAGAAATCAGGTTAGCTTTATAGTGTGCGTGACATATGCTATCTTCAGTTCGTGTAGCAAGTCAATGTCTGTCCAGCATAAGTATACACGCAATGTATACAGTATACATGTAGGTACAGGGATGTTCTATAAAGTATAAGAGATATTCTGTCTAGTAGACTGTAGCTCTAGGTTTTCTATGCAAAGTATCAGGACAGAGATAATGTCCAATGTAAGTGCAAGGTATTCTGAGTAGTATCGGTATAGTGATATTCCAATTAATATAAGTACAGGAGTATTCTGGAGATGTTCTATCCAGTACAAGTATAGAGATATTCCAATCAGTATAAGCACAGGAGTATTCTGGAGATGTTCTACCCAGTATAAGTGCAGAGGTATTCTGTACAGTAAAGTTACAGTGATTTTCTGTCCAGTGTAAGAACAGAGGCACTCTCTACAACATCAGGACAGAGATATTCTCTGCAGTTTTGGCATAAGAGTTCCTCTTTAACCCGTCACTTTCGTTGTTGTTTATTTATTCTTTACTTTGCTTCATCAGTTGGACAGCAGCAAGACTTCTCTCTCTCCTGATGAGACTCCGCCCACCATTGTGGCCGTAGCTGGGCCATCTGCCCCCGTACAGCACAGATACATGGATAGGTCAGTGCAAGTCATTTTTGGTGTTGAAGTAGGTGGTCATTTGCACTGTGCTACATTAAGAGATGGCATCTTTGACATAGTAATGATGGTCCTGAGATGAGAATGCACCGCATGCCCATTTGGCGCTGGACGCGCTGAGCACATGTGACCAATTGATGCTAGAATTTATGATCTCCACTTGTGTACCGGGGACCTAGATGAAAGAGAGAGTATGACGTCAGTTTACAAGACCGTGGAACATCCTAAACTTCAAAGTATCTTGTTCAAAATGTCTCTTTAAGGTGATCAGGCAATTTTTGTCCAAGGTAAACTGGGACTTGTTTTTTGGTGGATAATTGAAGTTTATTTTCTTAGTCATATGAATAAAATGGGCTATGTACGTAGCACACAAGCGAGAGGCACATTGTAGAATTCTTGCCTGCACGCTTGGTTGTACAAGCCAATTCAGGTAACTCAATGCAGAGTTGAAAGGGATCCAACTTTGCCGACTGACTGTGTCTGTCCTAGCCTCAGCCGTCATCGGGAGTTTCCTTATGATTGCGTGTCACTGGGGACTGTTTGCCAATGCTGTCTATGTCTCATTTTATTTAGTGCTGCAACTAATTGTCAAGGTTTGGTTTGAGTTCGATTCGGATACGGTTTGGAAATTTTTTTCTGAACTTTGGGTTCGGACATGTATACACATGTGCGTAGGTACATGTACATTGCTCAGTGCACATGGATACAACAGAGAGCATGCTACGAATGTGCCGTGGTACTTCCATGTATAAAATACATTAATAATGTTAAGCAATGAATTTCCTCGATCATGTCTATCCCCATCCACGAGCAACTTCAATTAGAACACATTTTTTTCTGAACTGTTTCCGCAAACTTTATTTAGGAGTTCCATAGAGGTTACCGTCAGAGATGTACCCTTTTCCGACCATGTTTCACCGACCGGTGCAGTATAACTGCAGTATAAGTTTTGGGGCAATCATTCCATGTGCTATGAATGCCATGCCATATTAAAGCCGAACATCCGAACTGACCAGTTGGTGCGGTTCAGTTCGAAGGTGCCATGTTTGTTTATTTTTGGTTTGGTTCAGCAGTTTGGCTGCAGCACTAATTTTATTGACATGGCAAGCAGGCTTTAGGTTGCAAGAATTTTGGCTGCAGTCCTGTTTTGGAAGCATCGCTTGGAGCCACGGTTTATTTCAGTTATGGGCCAAATACACTCCTCTGGACAGTCCTTATTCGTATGCATCAAGGTTGAAAATGTATGCTCTTGACGATGATTTGTCTAATTGTACTATTTGCAGACCCATGATCATGTTTTTACTGGAGACCTCTGTTGAGCTGCTAATGGTGCAAGGGTTACGATGCCTCAAGGATCCCACACTGCCCCTCCGAGATAGACAGAGAGTCAAACGGGAATTAGGAACTGAATTAGTGAGTATCGGATGATGTACATGTACATCTCCTCATTGATGTAGGCATTATTGTTGGCAAAGACCACAGTCCGTGTATGGTATTTACATAGTAGGCAAGCCGTCATACCTTTATAAATGGCAACAAGTATGAGAGAAATGTGAGGCCAGCACCCAGTCCTAGATCAGAATAAGAACAACATCTGTAAAGTGGCACAAGTGCTGATCATTATGCCATTTGATAAAGAATTCACAGCTAGTGTTTGTAAAAATGAGCCCCGCTGTCTAGTTCACAGTGTACAATTGCTATCCAAATGCCTGTCTACTGCAGCGTTGGCTGATTTCATGGAAACTCTGTGATCAAGTGGTACTTTGTCATCTTTTGATCGGACCCTGTTACCATAGGACTTGCTGCAATGGCATAAGTCCAGGCGTGGCACATTTCATTGCATGAGGTGCTCAAAATATTGGTCATTTCCTTAAAAGATACCCAGTGTGGAAGTCAGGGACTTGCTCCACAAATCATGATGTAATTTACACAGTCTCTACAGGTGTCATGCGCTGCAGTGTACGTGTCATGTGGACGATTAAGATATAAAGGTTACTGTCACTCAGTGTATAAGGGTTTGTACTACAAATTCACTTTTTCAGAAAGTTATTAAACATTTGCTTCAACTCCAAGTGACTTTTGAGATTCCAACCAGGAAAGCCATTCAGTGACGGCTTAATCTGCGTGAGACCCCAGCAGTTTTAAAGAGACTAGTAATGAGTTAAACCTCAGGCTAACTTTCACGAATATAATCACCAGAATATTAACCCGATCTAACTCAATCCATTGTCATTGTCTGCTGTGGGGGGCACGAGATTGCCCAGCACGTGGCCCCTTTCTTGTGAAACATTTTCACCTGGCTTTGACAATAACATGCGTAGACATTATTCCCCTGCACAAGATGAATCTGCGTGCTTAACATTGCGGGAAATTGAAAATGGGCTGGCATTCAAACTGATTGTCATCACTTCCTCCAGGCCACCTTCCTGCAGAGTCTCCAGCGGTACTTCCGTCGAGGGGGTGGGCCCTCCTCTCCCAGCTCGGCCAGTCCCTCCTCCTCCTCATCCGGCCTTCTCCGCACCCCTTCTGCCTCCATCCTCTCCAAGTCGGCCAGCCACACCCTGTTCTCGGAGGCCCCCGAGCAAGCCTTCTTCCGCGTGGTGCAATACTTCATGCAGCAGATCCTGCGGTAGAGGGCACTTCACTATGATAGCCCAGCAGAGCCGTTGGGAGTTGCAGCATTCCCAGATTAGAAGCCATTTTGGCTCTGAACAGCGAGTTCCATCTTTCTCAGATTATAAATCATTTTGCTTCCAAAGAGAGAGGGGGTTGCCACCTCGTCAGATTTGACGCCATTTTGGTTCCTAAGTTCTCCTGCATACTTAGGCATGAAACAATCTTCCAACTTTTAACTGTTGTTTTTCATGTCATTTCGAATCACTGTCATTTAGTGCAATCAATTAGTGCAACCCTATGCATTACAATTTAACACACCACCAATGCAACACACCACATCATACATGGTCTCATGTCTATACGGCTCTGTGATGGTCACTCACATGACTACTTGGAAGTGCTTCCCCCTCTCCCTCCCGTGGGAGAAAAAAATTTAAAAAGGCAAGGGGCGGGGAACAGGAACAGTGAAAGAAAGGAAAGCGACCAAAATAAGTCAATTTTCTTTCAAATAAATAACCAAACACCTCTGAATTGACTCCTTTCCATCATCATTGATTGCTGCTTTGCCTCTAATGGCAAATGGTGCTTGGAGCTGTTGGTGCTCTTTGGCCTTAGTGGAAGCCCAAACAATGAATAATCATGAACATGGCATTCCACGTCAAATGGTGCTTGGGACTATGGGCACTTTGAGCCTTTGTGAGTGCTCAAAGAATTCATATAGAATGCCCCCCCCCCCATGAACAGAAATACCTTGGAACCATCAGCTGTTGCTAGAATCAAACAAGGTGCCTTTTAGACAAATGTATATCAAATAGAACATTGTAAGAGTATTTACAGAAAGCAGGGGTAGAAATTAGATACCTGGAGGATGGAAATGTGACACATTGCCACTAGACCAAACTGAAGACACTTGTTTTGGTTTTGACTTTTTTTTGTCTCGTAAAGTTTGAATTTTGGTATTTATTCATTGACAGAAATATTCATGGCTGCAAGGGGAGGGATCACTGGGGGCCATGCTTTTCCCCCTCCCCCAAAAAGGGGACACATTTTGGGTTTAAGTGAGGTGAGAAAATGTTTTCCTTTTTCTCTCCTGCTCCAATATAGGGATTTAATTCAGATTTGATGTTTTTGGAACAAATGTTTCATGTCATTGAGGCAAAACTGATTACAATATTGTCGTGCATAATTACAGTTTGTACTGCATTTGAAGTGAATAAATTTTGATCGACCGATTTGAGTTGATTTTGTACTGTTGCATTGAATTCTTAACATTTCATGTTGTGATTTCTAGTCCTGTATACCCCACGAAAGCCTTTGAAGACCAGGCGCACGGCGTAACAAGTTTAGCAAAGTTGTTTAGCAAAGAAAATAAATCTATGTTAGGCCAACTACCAGGTTCCTGCCTCCATTGTTATGGATTAAGAGCAATAGCCAAGGCACTGGAAACGGACTACCCACTGGTCACATCAACCAGCACATCGAAAATTCAGCCAACGGGGCCAGCCAATGATAACGACAAAGCGCCCTCTTTCATTTTTGCTTGGGGCCTATACCATCTGAAGCTGTGTCCAAAAGTTACAACTTGGGCTGGGAACAACAGGAGCACCTATGGAAAGCCATTGGCTTGTAGCTGCATCCACAATGTCATATTACATGTGTGTTGTACTCACAGCTGCAAGTAGGTGATTTAGATATATAGTGTGGCAAGATTTGTTTCAACCAACCATGGGAAATTTGAAAATGAGCTGGGTTGGAGGAAGTTCTTGACATCAGTTGACACTAAGGAGCTTTGTTTGTCATTGTCACATTTCAGATCATCAGAGGCACAAATCTTTTCCTGGGATTAGGAGGCGTGCAAAAACTTAAATCAAAAATTTGGCTAAGTAAACTAGAAAAGCATGAAGGGGAAATTGTTGGACACCACATGACACTAGAGGGCGCTAATCATGATACAGATGTCCATCTAATATTCATACTACAGGCGACTGTGAAGTGAATTTGACATCACAAGAGATTTGCAGCAAAATTTCACTCCAGTTGAAATGTGTTCAACTTTTGTGAATTAACAGCGTCAATATTTGGTTGGAAGTGTTTCCTTGCACATGAAGTATGAACCGGCCTCGTGAATATTTACACCCCTTATGTTGTACACCAGCACATTTCAAAGCTTTTGAAATTTCTGTTTCATGGTAGAGAAGTTTGAGAAACACCTCAAAATCTGCCTTTTTTACCTTACCACACATAAGTGTTGGGGATGATCCAATAGCCCAAGAAGATAGCCCCCCCCCAACAGGCCACTGTTGCCCCTGCCAGTTGTTAATGTCATGATCATGTATTGGTTTTAGTGCTTTCTCGGGAGGGGGGTGACTCCTGAACTTTCCTTGCTGTGTCATCACTATAGCAACTACTGCATCCTGGAACAACGGTGGACTGAATCAAATTCCCATTTCTTCCCCTCCGGGGGAGGGGCACTTTGGAGGTCCAGTCGCAAGTTCAATCACTAGTGGGAAAAGATGCTACAGTTTGAGTGTAACTAGATTCCCATAGGCAAGCAGTGGCATGGCAAGGATTTTAGTGGTACGTGGGGGCACAAAGGGGCATCAGCATCTTATAGGGGGGGCACCAGCTTTCAGTGATGTGTTATATGGGGGCACGTTTTTGTTAGCCTTGTTCAATATCCATTCCTGTGTTTTTTCAGTGGGGGGCCACCTGGGGGCACCGCGAATTTGTGCCCCCCCCCCGGCTACACCACTGCATGGATGCAAATAAATGGCATTAACTTTGCATGTCTTACACTACTAAAATAGGTATATTTTATTGCAAAGTCTTCCTCAGAAATGGCTCTTTAATCCTTCGGCAGCATAAAAGACCTCCCGAAGCTGCAAAGGTAACTTGGACTGGTGACACATACGACTAATAACCTAAACTATATTTTTAAAAGTTGAACAAAAATATAGAGGTGCCCTAACACTTCATTAGGATTGCCCACACATCACATATGGGTCTTCCTTTCCAACTAAACCGCGATTTCTACTCTTTCGGACATCCTGTTAAAGTCGAATTTATCATACCGAAGGTCCCACCTCCATGCTGCCTCCGTGCTCCTCACAGGTGCCACAGTCGCCAGCGCCATACCGCTGATCAATGGAGATGCACGGAGCTGAGAGGCGCATAATATTCTACCTCCATGGTAATATCAACCTCCGAGTTTGGTGATATGTTGTTTCAGCTTTCAATGAAACTCGCTCTGTTAACTCCCACTTTACAATTATTCGCTTCATAAAAAAGGGGCTCACAGTCACAATTGATATTGCCTTCAAGCGTCGTCATTGTTTGCGGCGAGGCTGGTCAGGAACCTACTATTTGCAGTGCACGCAGGCTTAATATTCCTGCCAGACATCATTTACTGCGCGAACGGCGAGGTCACAGCGTAACACGACCTCTCGGTCTTCACGCACTGGTCTGACGCCAAATTAAATTCTAACACAAACCAGGGGCAACACAGACTGATAATACTCTCGGCTTTCCCACCAAGCTCACCAGTCACTGTAAGTATACAACGTGTACTTCCTTTTCTGCCTCAACAACATGTGTAACCATGGAGGAATAAAACACACTTACAGGCGTCCAGCCTGCCAGCCAGCTGGGCTAACGGGGTACACCGTACACTACGCTCATGGGTGACGTCTGGCCGGAATCGTTCATGCTCAGTGTAGTAATAAATCTGACTTCAACCATACACAGCCGGATCTATGGTTGTCGAAAGGTTCGGGGTGAAAGGGGGGGGGGGTAGCGACTGTAAGTCCCGTTGGGTATGCTTGTAATGAATCATGCAGGAATAAATAGGTTCACCACTAGATGTATTGTACACACCGCGATCTACCATGTCTACATGTGTCATTTCAAACCAGCTGATGTGTACTAATACCTGGCAGTAGACTGGGGACAATTTTCAAATGCGAGGACTTTTTTTATGTACTTACAGTGTTACACAACTGTAAGCCACACGGATAGTGACTTGCAGTTAGCTCTTACCTTTGGGTCAAACATGATCATTTACTAAGCCTACAGTATGTACAGTGTACATGGATATGTACATGTAGCCTTGCTGCGTTTTGTTCAGGCTCGTTTTGTCACGTATGTTGGACAGGATTCACGAGGAAGCGAATTAATCGTGATGAGAAATTGAAAGAACTTATTTCATTGGATACCGCGGGTAGTCTACTGCCTTGTAAACATACAGTACAAGCACATTCAGCATTTTTAACTATTGGATTGCAAACGTAGAACGAAATTATACATGTAAGTTGGAGGACGGGTGGGAAATGATCTCCAAAGTTCCATTTTCCAATGAACTTTTTTAGGGTTGGAGAGGAAAAAATGAACGTAGTCCCCTTTTTTCAAAATACTAAAAACATCATAAGGAATAAAATAATGTACTTTTCTTCTTTTTTTCTCTCAAAATTGTGTTATTCGGAGTCGGCGGGTTCGTAATCTAACCACTAAAAAGAATTGTTGGCCGCCTAAAATATATGGAGACAGGTGTCATGGTGGTTTCACATAGATCTGCCCTGAATAATTTTTTTATTGGTCTAGAAGGATAACGTGACATGCTGTCCTTCCTGAATGCCTTTGCCCCCATGTTACCATACGTCACGTGGAAAACCTCTACGCGTTGTACAATGTACATTCCTTTGTCACCCTTATTTCACTTAGAAAAACCATCAAGTGGGACATCACAAAACAATTGTTGACTGCAGTGATGTGGGATATGACGTGTTGAATATGTGTAAGCGGCAGTGAAATTTCCTAGCGTGTAGGGGAACTGAAATCACTTAAACTGTGGCTTGTACAGGTTGTTTGCGTGTCAAAGTTCAACTACGGTCAGAGCATCTGGGGCATAGACTTCCACGGTGGGGTTTGTCCCGGCCCATGCCTGCTCGCGAACGTAGGCTAGGCCCCTGATGACTTTTACTGACTGAAATAAAAAGCTATGTATATGTGGGGATGCCAAATTAGTGAGTTCCAATCAGTATTCCCTTCTCACAGCTCTGTGCTTATTATTCATGTACACGTATGATACATAATCATGCATCAACAATGGAGGAATTCCTGAAGGGGGGGTGAACCAACGAACCACTTCGATCCAAGTTCCATGTGTGACCTATATAAGCTCGACGTTGTTGGCCTTTGGCCTTTAGGCCTTAAATATCCATTGACCGCTTATCATAGGTCTACGCTCAGTGTTGTAAGTTCGACCCCACTAATCCATTTTCGTCTGTGCCACTCGTAGTTTACAAAACTTTACACCACTATAAAGTTCATCGATCGACACGTGCATTGACCCTATCTGTTATAGGTGTACAGTAATACATAGACGCCTGACAATGTCCAAAGCGAAGATTACCGAATTCCGCACGGAGCCGTTTGAGTGCAACACTGCACTAGTGTGCCGAGGTTTAGCCAGTAGCCTGAAGGACCAGGCGTTACGGAGCAACTTCGATGAAGAAGTTGACTTGGATCTAGCTAAGAGTCAGCATAATGAGTGAGTATTAAGGTGCCATGTGCCAGTGTTGAACTTTGGCCGAGATGCCATTATGTCATTGTTGGGCGTGATCGCTCGATCTTTGTGCAGTCAGTCGATTTTATTGCGCAATTTGTTGATAGTTCTCAAATCAGCCAGTCGCTTTTTCTTTTCAGTCTAAGGTTGTGAATGATTATTTAAAAAAAGGGAAGTTAAGTTCGAGATTTTATGCGGGATCGACCAATCACGCAGAGCGATTGGATCGTACAAATCAGCCGATGGCGCCCAACATTATTACCCGTTGTGACTTGACATGACTGCTTATTCAAGTAGGGTCGACAATTTTGTCATTCACGAGACTCACTGAATGCTCTACACGTCTCTTTAAAATGAGTCACTGAATTTTGTTCCTTGAGCCGGCTCGGGTGGAGTCTTCCGGGGCGATTGCCCAATCTTTGCACGCCTCGATTGGTCTCTATAATTAATTCACAGTTGTAAAAGACCGTTTCAGAACAGGAAATGAAGTCAGAGATTTGAAGATTTCATGCAGCGTAGGGCGATCGTGCATGCAGATCGGCCGTGCCCAAAGGATTCATTTGAGTTTCAAGGACGTTACTCGAGTCAGTGTATGTTCCAATCGAGTTACACACAGTGTGGCACATTGAGTAGTCAGTCACAGTGGTCTAGTCGAGTGGAATATTTCCACCTGGTGCCAATCCGAGTCACTGGTGTTTGAGCATTAAAGAAATTTTACAGTCTGACCTCATTTATACGAAGATGTACTTTGGACTTTGTAGATCACTTGTTACAGGAACCTTGTATTAACGGGATTGAAAACAATGAAGGACAAAGGATTGGGACAGAAAATGTCCTTGTTGTAAACAGAATAATGCATTAAACAGTGCCCTTATCAACAAGGTTCAACTGTGCGGTACATGCAAGAGAGATAGGGTTAAGAATTACACTTATGCTCCATATTATCTAAAAGGGTGCCCTAGTTGCAATCACTGATGAATGAGTAACACCGTTTTATAATTTTTTTTTTAATTGGGCCTTTTTCAACATTTGGCTGATGGCAATTTGAGCTTTTTACGCATGCTGGCATTGAATGCGTAAATTAAAACAAATATTCTTTGGAGTAGCCAAAGTATGACATGATTACCGTTACAAAAGCCAACAGTCTAGTTGGGAGTCCGTTTTGGGCTTGAGTTGTTCACCTTTTAACCGTCAAGTCGAGTCCGCAGATGGGGGGACTTTAACTTGAGTCTCTTGCTCGCAGAGGCTGAGTCAAGTGTCCGTTGAGACTCTGGTCAAGTCGCCTGGAGTAGATCATTAGGCCTACAACTTTTGTTACATTATCTGTGTTGGCTCCAACTAATGAGAAGCCGTTTTACTTGTCAGGGTCGCACTTACACTGATATTTCAAAATCGAAGTGTAAGTTTAGCACTTGGAAAATAACCGACAACTTCGAACGAAAGGATCACCTGATCCTTACAGTGGAAAATAGAACCGTCACAAAGACTGCAGCGTTCTAAATCATGAAAACTATATCGACTTGCTGTCGCATCTGTGCGGACATGCGCTTTTGGTATGAATGCGTTGTATAAAATTTGCCCTGTGACGCACGTTGACCAAATACTTTTAATAATAATTCAAGAATGCAACGTCACAACACAACGCAGTGTGCACATTTCTAAAGTTTCCTTTAGCATTCAACTTTTGTGGCTGTTCGAAATTCCAGCGCTCTTTAAGACAGCATAAATCAGAGATGCTTTCAGGTCTAAGACTGTCAGCGATCACTGGAAGTAGGCCTGTTCATCCACATTTTATCCTGCTCTCAGCTCGTCACCAAACCATACACTTGGAGTGTCTCGCTGAAAAAAATTAATGTGATTGTCCAGCAAGGAGCAGGCTAATGCCACTTGTGATTAAAATTTGAGCGATTTTCCAGGTACCTAGTACCTCTGATCGAAATGCTCTGATGAAAAGCTTTACCCAGAGTATTTCCCTGTTTCTTGACTCGCCTGTCCTTCTTCTGGAACAGTGGGGATTTAGACAGTGGACATTTCTGTATTGTATTTTCAAAAATGAAATCAGTGTCATCGAAAAAACTTCATTCTAAATGTTTGTTGAGTCTACAGTTCAGTTTGAAGTGTGGCAAAGTAGCGAAGAACTAGGGTTTTAAATGACAGGGGCTTCGATTACTAGTAAACAATTAGTTCAAGTACTAAGCTCTATAATTGTCCCCAGGTACCTTACTGCCCTCCGTAAGATCAACAACCTCGCTCTTAGCGAGATTGAACCCCGGGAGGACCTACCGGACAGCGTGTTCGTGGAGGACTGCGCCGTGGCTGTCGGCGGCGTTGCGTTGATCACGAGGCCCTGTGCACCGTCTCGCCAGAACGAAGTATGTCGGTTTGAACTTTTTGCTAGGAATTCAGCTGATTCTGTCAGCCTTAACACTAGTTAATTTCAAGTCGCTGAAAGGTAATGTTAGTATGGCTTCAATTTTGAGTCACCAGGTAAGTCCATGAAAATCTAGGCCTAAATATTTAAGCAACTCAAAATATTTTGTCTTCTTCCTTCCACATTGTTTTGACTGATTAACAGTTTCGTTCCGATAACGCGTTGCCGAATGAGCTACTTATTCAACCATTCAAACACACGAAACATGCATTTAACACAAGGTATTTTATGGTAGTGCATCACGTACTGTCGTTAGGTCCACAGTTCTTGATTTTATTTCACCATTTTGCTTTTTTGCATAATATCTTAAGGCGCTATGTAGTTTACAGAAATGAAAATAAACACTCGTACGTGTTTGCTGAAATAGGGGCATTGCACCATTTAGGTAGTCAACCAATCCCTTTATTCCATAAAGAAAACCTTTGGGTGACACGTCGCAAATGACCAAGGACGTGTCCGAAACGGGATTCCAGATCTACGACTAGGTCTATTGTCTGTGCGTCTCCACGCATTTCTAATGGAGTGAAAACCTAGACCTGGCTCTACACAACAGATTCGGATGCAGCCGAAGCCAGGCGTAAAAGTGACTCCCTTCACGCCGCTCGTGGGCAAAAAAACGTCTGAATGAGAATTTTCACCGTTTTGTTTTTTATCAACCTGCCCAGAACAACGGTTCTTGGCATCACCTGGCTTCAGGCAAATGCTGTCAGTATTGAGTTTCACGTCTGGATTTTGTTTGGTTATTTGTCTCTCTTTTCCGTGCTATTCTGTAACGGTATATGAATTTGCTTTTAACACAGGAATATTATTTTTTATTGACGCTGTTGCGCGCCGAAAATACATTTTGTTCGATATTCAATAGAAATTTGGGTATCGAAATCTTTTGGTATCGACATCTTTTGCAGCACACGCACGTGTACATGTAAGCATTTTGTAAGTGAAATAACGTAACCGGATTGCATCGAGCCATTGGAAATAATAGAACGACTGGACCCATTGATATGCCTGCTTCTAAAAGTATAGGCTTACAGTAAAAACAATGAAACGGCACCAAACAAGAATGGAAGTATCTTATCCCCCGTGATTGTCTACCAACTTTTCTACAGTGTAGTCGACGCCGCCAGCGCAGTCATCACTGAAAGCAAAATCGGCTAAGGGTTTTCTAAACGGGTAGTAAAGTAAACCAAAACCACGTCTCAGAAATAATCATATGAGAAATTGACGCTGAAAAGCACACAGAGAATGCATCAGTCGGTCACAGGTTTGGCAAAACAATCGGGATTTAGAAAGATCTCAGTTGGGTGACGTGCTTGGACTCTGCGAGAGGAATTTTCCTGACTCGTATGACGAGCTGTCTGTACGTCCCATCTGCCTGCTTGGGCCTATATTCACTTGACGAGGGTAAAATGATAACGCCACCATAACAGAAATACCTGCTCTGCAGCCGGCCTAACTAATCACTGAAAAGTTCACGTTTAGCAAGCCGACATCGCTGCAGTATGGGGTGGATTTTGTCACAGCTGTCAGTTGAACCGAAATCTTCCTATTGCAATTTATAAAAGATTCACATTGCCCCCGTTGTCTCAAGGCCTCTTGAAATTTTATCGACATTGTGCTCTTGCGCTGGGATTGTAAAGCTGGATACGCCGCTGAGTTTGGAAAAGTAAATTTCCATTTCTTTAGCAATTTATTGTTGTATAAGTACATATATATTTGCAACAAGTATTGAAGCAACCCTTTCAGAAGTGTTTAAAAATGCAAATTCTGCGGATAAATTTGAACATAATGTGTAGGGTGAAGTGTCTTCCCTGATTTACATGGACAACAGCGCCCTCACTTGTCATGAAAATGTCGGGACACACATTCCAAAACGATTTTTAAATAGTTTTTATACATTAAAGAAGAGTGCAAAGATGCACAAAAAGTGAGTTTAAGAAAAATTAATTTCTTGGAAACTTTAAGCCCTTCTGGGCATACATGATATATGAAAGAACAAGCATCGATAGGTAGACGGAAAAGGACCTGCGGCATGTGCATGTCCTAAATATTTATACTTTATTCTATCAAAACATCGCATTCACGTTGAAGAGACATGACATGAGAAGTTGAATATCGAACTGCAGAGGAATTAATAGAATAAAATGTAAGATTTAGGATTTGTATGCATACGATGCGGGTCGTTGTAAGTGTCCCTTTGTCCCTGTCAACCCAAACGAAGCAGCTGTTCAGATTTTCTACTGTATCGTGAATGCACTCACCAACATGACTAATGGTGGCGCTCATCCGAGGTATTGCTTTCAGCACGTATTGTTTTCAACATGGAGTTGATGTCAAAATTATTTTCATTCAAGTCTCCAGTAGATTAAGTGAAAAATGTATGTTCGTATAGATAATTGAATGTCTTAATAATAATGCCAATATATTAGTCCTCCTGAGTACCAATTGCTAGTAATTAAAACACGTTTGTAGCTTCAACTGTATGTTGGAATTACACGTACTAGGTATGACAGGTGCAGCAGGTCGGAAGCACATCGTGCATATATGCACGCGCTCACACAGCCGTACCGTTTTGAGGTTGTCGGTATTGTTTACCACACTCGTAGGTGGGAAGATCGCGTACACGGCACCAATATTTGTACAGATATCTTCCCACTTTGTGCGGCTTTTGACTGAAATATTCCTGGATGCCGTAGCAGGGAACATTATAGGACGTTATGGAGAATATGAAATCGTCCAGCGGCAAGCACAGCCACAGCAACAGACCGTTCATGTACGCGACGGGAATAGTCAGCCGGCTACCGGAGAGCCTGGCCAACAAGGACCAGACGGCGGGCACGAAGGGCGCTGGGACCGAGGATGGGGAAGACGGCGGCTTCAACCTGGAGCTGGCCCGCCGACAGCACGAGAAGTTCATCCTCACCCTTCGGAAGCTCAAGGTGGACTTGTCGGAGCTGGACGCCGACGAGGACCGGCCTTTCTGCTGCTATCTGGAACACATGGCTGTGGTCAGGGACGGGGTGGCATTGATAGCTAGACCCGGGGGTCGCCTTGAGGAAGAGGCTCAGGTAAAATTGGCCCCTTATACACGTGGCCTATTGATTATTGCTCATTAATGTATATTTATCCCAGTTAATTGTTGTCAGTTGTAATATTTTCTGTGCTGGCCGTAGGTAGAAAATAGGAGAAATGATAACACAAAATATTAAGAAAAATTAACAATATATTACTAAGTACTGTAATTAGGCCAACACATTTGTACTGCCAGAACTGTGGTTCTGCATCCACCATGCAAGTACCAGCTGTTGTATTTTTAGTTCAATACGTTTTGCAATCTGATAACTTTGTCTGCATATTAATGACAGCATGGTCAGTGTAATCTCTTCCATGTCTTTTGCATCGATTTAGTTCTTTATAGTGTGCTTTCCATTAATGTGTTCTTTATACAATTACAACTGCTATGACAAGAAAGTGGGAATCAAAACTGTTTCTTCTTAATGTCCAGGGTGAAAAACCAGATTTAAAAATCCATGCAATGAGCTACCTTTAAAAGACTCTGGAAAATCTGTTGGCAGATCCCACATAATTTCTCAATTTTAACTGGCTTTGATTAGCCCCCCCCCCCCAAGTGTCTGGTATCTTGTCAGGGGCTGGCTCCAAAAGTGGTGCGGCGACTTAGTTTATTTTTGGCACTTAACTTTTTACGTACTTACCGGTATAATGCATGATGTCCATCACCACTGCATTGCGTACCACAGCTACATGTACCAACACTGAAATAGACTGGTGCTCTCACTGTTTACTGTTTAAAAGCATTTTCAGCTTGTAGAGGTATACAGGACATCAGACCACCTCGTTTGGTTCCCAGATGTAAATGTATGTATAATACGTAAATGATGTCATCTGAAAAAAGTGTCCATCTAAATGTATGGGTGCCTAGAGGGACACTTTTACTCTATGTATTACTCAACTGCTGGCACTCTGTTTAAAACACATTTGAATTATGCAGTAGCAGGATTCCGGTCAATCAGACAAATTTGGCAGCTTTTGGACATCCTATTATACCAATAAAAAAACTTATTTTGCTAACGCACCGGTCAATGGCAATGCACTCCCTGACCAGAAACTGGAGACTTTCTTTTTTTGGCCTTAATTAATACATGTACGTCCTGTATGCAATTTGAATTGCTGCGAGCAACGATTGACATGATTCTGCTGTTCCGTACAATGTACCGGTACTTGTAATCTAAGTGACTATTCATCTGGAAAATCATAATTACAATGCATTATGGTCATAGAAATTGACAGATTTTGCGACATAGTGGACCCAGGATAGAATATCCACAACATGCCTATACATGTACAGGCCCTAGGGTTAAACTCTTTTACATTGCATTGAAATCAACCGTATTCTTCATTTTACCCCACAAGGGTGAATCTTGTGAGCAACATGCAGATTTTTCATGCTACACGTTGTAAGGCAAGAAAATATCCTCTTCTGTTAAGGGTGTGTATCAGGCTTGGACGGTATTGCATTTTTAATACTGTGATAGAAACTCGATAGTTTGATAAAACTTGATAGTTCTTGATTATAAACAGCACAACATTCACTAATATCGTGATATTCTTTGAAGTGGGAGTGTTGAGCTTACATCATCAAAAAGCAACGGCGATAGGTGGTAACATATGCCATGCGTGTAGTTCTGACTTCCAGTCATGTACATGTATATGTACACCAAAACCACAAACACAATGGCAAGAGGATAATAAAACTTTAAAGGCTTTTGGGGTTACTGTTCGATTTAAGCTTCATTTTATCAAGCCCAATTGACAATGCAGATCTGACACTGGATTACCAGTACCAGGTAACACAAAAGATGGAGAGAAATACGACAATATGGTGATTTTCTTTATTTGTGACCTTTCACCAGAAAATCAGCTGAA